AGAGTTTCCGTGGTGTTTTAAGAATATGTACGTTTATGATTTTGGAATCTCCTCAGGTGGACTTTCATACCTTGATTCTCATGTTCCCAAGTCAGCAAGATTATCTTTTCTTTTGCTCAGGCCAGCAACAGTATCATAGCTGTGTGTCAGTGCTCATGGTGGTCTGCTGCCATTGCCATTTCCCAATAGGTTGTAAGCAAAGTCATCCAACTCAGCCAAGAGCAACAGTTGGAATTGGGAAAACATGCACTTTTCTCAGGATGCAGCAAAAATGACTCGACAGCTTTTTACCTTCCATTTTCATCTTAGGTTCCCTTAATGGACAGATAAGGTTTCCCACATCAAAGACAAACTCAGAGCAACCCAGTGCTTCAATCCCCTCAGATACATACAAATGAGTGCAAAAAAATGACCCAGGTAAAATTTTGGAACATGATCACATCCTTGCTATGGTAATTCATTTTATGATCATTCCATAGTAAACACCTGTCTTTAATGATGAACCTGGAAGGGCTGAAGCCTTCCAAAACCAACAATAAAGTCACAATTAGCCCAGACATTTTACCTAGAAGTCAGGGTTGCAGCAACGTCACATCAGCCAAGTCCAACATAAAACCAGTAGAATAATATTTTGTCTGGAACAGTCTCAAGCCTCGTACATGACCCATACCCAGACTGCCTGCTGCGATAAGTGCAACTGGCTTGCCAAGCAAAAAGAAGAAAAAAAGAAAAAGAAGGGATAAATGATTGCCTGTGCACAAAAAGCAGGCACATCTATGATGTTTCAGGGACCCAGAAAACATCGAAAACAGGAGAAAAAGACAAGTTCAAATCTGCACAAGTTTTACATAAACACTAAAAGCCACACAGTAGTTGTACAAGGTATCCTATGAGACACACTGGATTGCATCTTCTCAAACAGTAATGACACAATATCTGTGTTTAAGCATCCCAGTCACCTTCTCTAACCCTTAGCAGCACCACTTGCTGAAGCAGACACCTCAAGAGAGGCACCATTCTCCTCTCCCATTTTTTCTTTTGCAAATGGAGACGAATTTAATTTCCATCTTCCCTTACAGAGGAAACTTACATTAGAGCTAGCAGAAACATCAGCCATGTCTTACACAAGGGCCAAAGAGGGCAGGCAGGCAAGTTTTGAGTGCCAATATCAGTGCAGCTCTGGGAACTGGGAGTCACCCACCTTTAAAGTCAGAGGGTGGGGATGTCACAGATTTCTGTATCCTAGAAAAGCTGCTGTCTCCAATAGTTGTAAAATAACACTGTCTGATTGTCAGCATCTCACTTCTGTGATAAACTGAGAAAATGATTCGAGCTAATTAAGAGAAAACAGTGTAAGGTCAATATGACCTGGAGAGAAAAGAAAAACAAGTCGTAAAACTTAATTGGGCCCCTATAAAGAGATAAAACAAGTTACCTCCCTTTTTCCTTTTGTAGGATTTATAATGAGAGAATTTTGTTTAGTTAGCTAGATAATAGCACCTTTCTTAAAATTTATAACTTTGTATAGATAACAAGCGAACATCTGCTGAAAGTCTGATTTAACAATATATTATGGATGCTTATAGATAACATTCTTGTTAAGAAATATCTGTGGAATGTCTGACCTAACAATGTGTAATGTTTATACTTATGTATAATGAATATTCATGTAGTAGCTGGAAATAAATGTAGAACAAATGTCTTCTTTGGGTGTGACAGGCGTTGGGAGTTGTTGAACCCCTTCCCTGATCACCCAGCGCTGAATTTGCTTTTATCATATAATAAATTCTGATTGGAAATTGCCCGATTTGGTTTCTATTTCTCACACTTCTCATGGCACCAATGTCCTCTAACTTGTGGGTTTATTAAATAATTAAAAAATCATCCTTATTTTCAAAGACAAATACAACCTAGTACATCAAGCTTCACAATTTCCCCTGGCGTATGTGAATCCTGACGAGAATTTCCGCCCATTAACTTCAAACATCTTGGGTCACTGAAAACACAGAGTGGGATTCAGCTCTAGATGCTTAAGTTTTGGGTGCATGCAGAAGTGCTGTATATGACAACTATTGTCACAGTCAGTGGAGCCTAGCATGTAATTCAATTGCTCAGATGTCTGCTCCAAGCTAAGCGCAGCGATTCTTCAGGCTCCGCTGACTGGATCAATCACATTACTACTGCCTATAAAAGGAGCTTAAGTTTATTGTCTACATGCAAACAATGTAAATTTAGAGTTGCATTAATTTTGAAATTAAGACAATATCTCACTATACTAACTTTATAGGGAGCTTGGGTTCCAATTTTAGAAGCCCTGAACCACAGCTACATTCAACAAAGAAAAAAAAGCATCTCCCTTGTCAGATATCAAATGAATTTATTTTCTTAAGGTACTGCACACTGGGAGCAAACTACACCAGCCTTACAAAAATCCCTAGAGAACTAGTTTACTATGAATTTACACATCAACTTATTTTTCATAAACTGCTCTATGTCCACAAACTTCTAGCTGCCCAAGGAATAACAATAAAAATATTAACATTAAGAAATGGCAGGCTTTCAGGCTAAATATGGACTAATCTGTCCATATTCATAGACAGACAGGACAATCCTACCAGGAGACAGAATGAATCTTACAGAGGCTGGAGAAAAGTACAAAGAGAGACTGATTTGGGCATTGGTGCACTGAACGCAAAATTACTCATCTGTTCAGATTTGTATCTAGTGTGTGCAATTCTGAATTTAGTGCACAGGCACTCTTCTAGGAGTGTTCAGTGACTCTGATAAATGCCAAATACATTGCTCCAAGGGCCCTCCAAGCTGCTCTGCATGTGTCTTGGAATCTACAAGGTTAATGAGTAAACAACATTGCTGTTGACATTTTTAACAACAAAAGCAACACCAGTCCAGGAAACTCAAGCCACGAAAAACCCCCTCATATAAACAGATGCAGGAATGATCAACACTTTTCCTGCTCCAGAGGCACATAAAACAACCAGATTTTCAAACCCAGAGTGGGCCAGACAGGATGACACTGTGAGAATGATCAAGCCCTGTAGTTCCCACCACTACAACAGGAGAGGTGAGAAGGGACCTTGGGAAGATGCAGATGCATGAGAGGGAACATTAAGCAAAGGACACAAAATAGATCTGAGGATAGTTTGCTTCCATTGAGAAACCATACTTCTTTAGACAATGCCATATATCCCTGTTACAAAAGACCAAGACGAGCCACCTGGGCTAGGAGATAAAGGAGCTTAAAAAGTTCATAATTTTCTTCTAATAGGCAAGAACTTTGGACCTCTAACTACATCTTTTCATAGACTAAACCATAACAATAAACTGAAGTACAGACTGTGAGTTACGTAAAACTATTCCCAGCTGATCATATATCAGAAAATTTTTAAAAATAAAGCTGCATATGGAATATTAAACTGGTCATTTTAGATAGTCTCTTTTTTATTTCAGAGACATGTAAATATAACAGTTAAATATTTAGAATATGGGACTTGTGCAACAATTTCAAATTATTTAGAGAACTTGTGAGAGTTCAACAGTGCAAAATTAGTTTTGCACTAGCATTTAAAATTTTAATATAGAAAATAATAGAAAAGAGAAATAATAGAATAATAGAAAATAATAAAATTGTAATGGGAAGCTATCTTCATAATTGATCACCTTTATATGACTTCCTGGAGCACCAACATCAATTATGCTTCTATGTCAAAACAATGTTGGCACACTGCCAGTGAAGATTCGGAGCAGAGCCACTGATTTATTAATGTATTCCTTTTTGGAAATCTGTGGATGGTACAGTCAACTTTTGATTGCTAAATGCAAATTCTGTATGAAGCATAATGAAGCCAGCATGTCATTACTGTACATAGGAGCAAAAGGGAAAACACATATATATATTTTAATTCACTTTGAGTCTGCAGTCAGCCACCTGTAATTATAGCATTGACTGGCTGCAGGTGGTAGAGTTTCTCTCCTCAGAAACAGGTGATTTCTAATTATCATGGTATAAAACAAGGTATGTACTTGTTTAGAGGCCTTTATTCTGATTGCAGTTGAACATAGGTAATCGGTTTTATCAAGGAACCATTTCAAAGTATGATGTTGCTGATAAAAATTGACACAGCTTTCAGCATTTAGTGACACAAATAAGTTTCTTTTCCTCAGCCACCTGATAATGCTTTTCCGCCTACAGCAGATTGGGTGCTTCTTGCTCTGTAACATACTATTGCATACGAAAAACTCCTATCAAAACAGGATATCCAAGGCAATCATTTATCTTATGAACATGAAAACATGGTTCATATTCCTAAGTAAAGAGCATGGCTTTAGATGCCAGTGTTGTTTTAAGAGTCTTGCACCAGTGAGCCTGACCCTCATATAAACAACAGTCCATCGGGAGGCTGTTTATGATGGATTTATTAGAAACCTTGTCAATAACTTAATTGTGTTTTTGATAATTCCATATTTGGTTGCTAGGAGACTTGTGTTCCTGATGAGATAAAAAGAACAGGAAATCCTCTATAGCCTTGTCACTTTTTTCACTAGTAAATAAAAATCCAAACAACTGATATAAAATACTGGCTACTGTAAATAGAAGTGAGAAAAAAAGACAAGCATTGCATATTTTAAATAAAGGAACATACAGCCCTTTTTTGCCCTCTCCAATTATAAGATGATAAAAGATCACCTTTATAAAGTAGAATGACCGGATTTGGTGGAACGTGGCTGTTTTGGCTCCAAGGTATTTGTAGCGTTATAGTATCAGAGCCAGGATACAGCTGCCTTGTGACTAAGACATCGTTCACTGAATAAGTGCTATCCAATCCCTCAACGTCACCAGACATCTGTTTCCTGTTTTCATTCTTTCTTTCACTGTTATCATTTTATCCAAGTTACCCTTTCACCTGAAAACCATTTAGAGACCTAGAGAAGCCAGCGCGTGCACGCGTGTGTGTATCAAAGAAGTTGACTTAGAAAAAAAATTGCTGAGAGCAATTTGTTCATTTTAATACAAAGAGCAGGAATGGAAACAAACTTGCCTTTCCCCAGTCTTCTCCTCCCCAAAATACACAATGATACATAAACACTTTTGTCTTCTGGTCTTCACTAATATGACTAACTTCCTTCTTCACTTCCAGTTAAGTAGCTTTCCTGTTGAGTACCACCACCTCCACAAAATACAATTGTGAATTGATTCATAAAAACAGAAACATTATGGCACAAATAAGGGAAGGCAATAAATACTCTTCCCCCCCCTTCAACTCCTTCCCAAATGGAGGCAGTAGTAATATTGTTATTGTAAAGTTATTGTAATAACAAAAAAGTTTTAAAAAAAAGTTTAAAAAAAAGAAAGTATTGCTTGTCATTTAAGGTTCCAAACCAACAATCATCAGGATGCAGGACAGGATACATCTAAAGTGAGAAAGTTATTTACTTCACATTCAAGTTAACACCAACTGTACTTTTTTTGGCACACAGTATTATTCCTGATGTGCCAAAAAATGCTGGGCACCTTATAAAATACGAATGTTAATGCCACTAAAACCAAATTCCTGCTATTCATAATCCAATTTTATATGGCTGTTGTTTTTCTCTGTTTCACCTACACATAAACCACAAGTCGGGAGAACAACCACTACTGACAGCATCAAACACACATTAACAATTAACAGTAGAAGTTGAAGAGTAAATTGTCAAAAATTAGTCACTCTCTATTCTTAGTCTCTTGATTTCAGATTATTTAATCAGAATGAGAATATAAGACTTGTTTTATTTTGTTTTGTGATTACAGATGCTCATATTAATTGACAAGGCAGGTTGCTGAGTGAAGGAAAAATCCGGGCTGGTTGACAAACACCAACAAAAATTCATCCACTTCTTTTTATTCTCTGAAACAAAAAGAAAATTGTTTTTAAATCCTCCCCCACTGAGGCATCCCAGAAAATACAGGTGTTATACAGGAGAAACAGGAGATTCTGGTACACAGAGGACTTCCTCTATGAGATAGGATGGTTCGGCAGCTACAGGAAACTCTAAGCAAAGGCACATGAAAATTGGAAAGCAAGACGACTTCTCGTGTTCTGATCTCCTGGACTGTTTCCTGCATTTTAATAACCAAATTATCCCTATTTTAAAGCCAAATCAGCTTCCACTAAACCACGTAGTTGTGAAGCAGCTCATTAACTTTCAAGGAATCAGAGCAAGTTCTGACAGGCTAACTCGGTCTCCTCTCTCACCCATCTTTACTGCCTGGCTCATCATCCCAAACACCCAATCCTAAGCTTCTGTATGAAACCTAAAATATTCTTGCATAGTAATAATGCAGTATTCTGGAGAGATGGATAAAACAAAAGTTTGTTGGAAAATATTTTTCAAGACTGTACCAAGTTGGTGTGATTAAAACACTGTTTTTCATAAAAAACAGTTTGTTCATACCTTCTCATAATATTTAAATTCATTTGTCCACTGTCACAGATGCAACCTGTAACCAAGCTGGAAACTGAATCCTAACTGTGTACTTTGTCCGTCACATCCCCATCCTTCATAATCTACAGCCACTGTCATTCAACGACTCTGGATTCTCCTATGCATTTTTATTAATGACATTACAATTCTGTCTGGACAAGTTTAAATTCTGTTTGAATAATAAAAGCCATTGATTTAAGAGCAATCTTTTCCCTCCCCCAAGTGTAGATAGAAAGTTACTTCAAACTGCACACCCTGTCTTTCTCAACTGCATATGAAGAAATACGACAAAAGTCAAGACCTCTCAAGCTCTAGTGCTACTGATGGCAATGGCAAAATCCAAAACACAGCTATGGGATGGGAGAGGTTAATGAAACCTTTTGAACTTTGTTATTTCCTGCTGTTTTTATTTTTCCTCAACCAAAAATAGATGGTTTGCCTCTTAGAGGTAGTCAAGATACATTTTCTAAAACTTATAATTTTACGTAATACTATTGTAAAACTAATATTAGGTCTGCACAGTCATATTTCCGATTTTAAATTGAAGGGGGAAATATAAACCAATTATTAGGTCAAACTACACTTTGGAATTATCCTCTGAAACCAATGCAATATGAAAACCCTCTGTCTGAAAAAAACACTGGCAAACCATCACAAGAGAAAGTGCCCAAACCCATACTTTATATCAGATTCTATACTGTTTTCAATTTTAAGACTTTTGATACACTGTGTTATGACAATAAAAAAGTTGAGAGCTACACCAGAAGATTACATGAACAAAAATTTATGTTTCGTCTAGTATAATAGAAGTCTTAAAAACAAACAAACAACACACCACTTCTATCCATTATTTCATACCCAGATGTTTCCTGAACACCTGCAGCTGTCTCCAGTCCTGAATTCATGTGCTATAGTATTTCAAGAGACTCTCATCAGTTGGTTTTAGAATTTTCTTGTCTGTCAGGTTTACAATCCATCCTGGAGCAAGACCAAAAAATATCTGTCTAGGATCCTTGCGTGCGCTTAACATCTTAAATAGTTCGTCCTTGGTTATGTCTGGTAAGATGTAGCCGTATTTCTTGGCAAGCTCAAGCCTGGCTTCTGCAACCTTAGATGGATCTGCCAGGTAACCCCGGCTCCTGGCATCTGTGTAGTAACGTACGAGGTCTTCAGGTGGAAGCATTCGCTTCGGAATAGGCTGGCCACGCAGAAAAAACAGTACTGGCTTACACAGAATTCCTGGGGGCAAACATGAGAGAAAATTAGTTACTGTACTTTATAATACATATTTAAAAACATCGAGTGACACTTCCTCATTTTGTACTAAATAAATTATTAAACTCTTATTAAAAAGTATCAAGCAAAAAAAAACAAATCTCAAGAATATTCTTGCTCAGAATGAGATAGTGGTTTGCAAGTCTCACCTTAATCAAATAAACAAGTCTGTTTTAATTGATATTTATAGTGTCAATCTGGATGAGTTATTACTTCTAACACATTAAGAATGCCTACTTTAGAAAGATAAGCATAACTAATCTGGATGCTGCCATTTATTTAAAGGACTATTTCCAGGTTTGAAGCAATGCTTTTGCATGGCTATTTACACATTGTACCAACAAATTTCAAATGTAGTGCTTCTAGAAGTATTTTAAATAAAGGATCAATGCCACATGCACCTATTTAGTCTTGTGGAACTATTCTCTCCTCCTCAAGTTTTACTGATTTTGGCAAATTATATTTCAGGACCTTTTAACCTCATTATTTTGATTATTTTCTGGATCGGAAATAAAAAGAACTTGTATCACTCCAGGATGATATTCTACAGACTAAAAATGTCTATTCCTCTTCTTCCCAGCCTCATTCACACATGAAAGCTCTATTATTGTCAATAAAAACTGCATGAATGAATGTTAGGCAGGATGCAGCCTCAAGCAAAGCAAAGCCTTATTCTTCAGTGAAAGTGTTCTGAAAACAATAGCCATTTTAACTGGAATGATTCTGAGCTTCTGTAACTTACTTACTTCCTCACTTTAAATGGAAAAGCATTTTAAATTAAAAATTGTAAGTATCCACAGCAGCTTTTAAACCTATTTTTTCCTGAATTTTCTTAGTATTACCAAACGTGTGAAACAGAATAAAAAAATTCTGAGAAACAATGTTATTAGTTCTTCTATTTACAAAGCTACTCAGATTTCTTTAGCTGGTTGATTGGTAAATGAACTGCTAACACTGCTAGGACTAAACAGGTGAATGGTTTAAAAAAGCAAAATTGAGGATGCATTAGCATTCATCGTTGGGGGCTGGGACTAGATGATCTTTAAGGTCCTTCCCAATCCAAAACATTCTATGAGATTCTACAAATATTTGTGTAACTGTGTGTTTTTGCAACTTTTAGAATAGAAGAAGCAGCTGATTCCTTTCTATTAAAAACTCCGTTTGAAACTGTGGTTGGGATCATTTAATCTTTGCACATTCAAAGTAAAAAAAAAAAGGCACAAATTAAAATAAATTCTTACCCAAACTCCTTGGGTCATAGAATGATGTTGTCACAACACCTCCATTTTTTTCTATGGCTGCAATTGCTAACTCAGATGCCCTCTGCACTTCAATATTTACTTTTGCTGAAAAAATATCAGCACCCTGTAAATTTCAACACATTAGAGAAACATCAAAATGACTATTTTAAGACATACATCTATTCTTCTCTAAAAAGTTATAAGAAACATTAAATCCTGCAAAATATTAGAATTTATCAGCTTCCTGCATCAAGATGAGAACCAAATTGCTCTCACTCAGTCACCTGGGTTGAATGAAAACAACTTTGCCTTTCCAAAATATTCATACATTTCTTTTGGTACATTTTAGTCTTCTGCTGTAAAATACTTGTTCAACCTTTTGTTACGTGCTCCTTATCTCTTGTTTTTGCAGCATATCAGGTATTGAAATTGTCTGGGTTTTTTTTTTGCTGACATACAGTGCCCTCTAGTGGATTTATTATACACAAAAATTCCACAGCAAACTAATTCAGAAAAGCAAAGATGATTCCAAAACATGGAAATGACAATCTGACAGCCTGGGGTGGAAAACTTGAAAGCCTGAAGTAATAGGTGTGTTATAACGCCTACCTCCTCCACCAGCTGGACACCGTAATCCCTCTTGAGAGGTTGCACTGTTACACCTCTGGCATTGATGAGCTGTGTTAAGTCAATTGGTTGTGTGGGGTCAACTCTACCCAAATCAATCAGGTACTGCAGCCTCTGAAGACTGAGTGGTTGATACTGACGTCTGAGGCTGGGGAGAGAAGAAAAAAACAAAAATCAACCCAAACAAAACAATGAGAAATTTACAGATTTGAAGCTTTAATAGCAATCGGTCAACTGAGATATTCCAGTCTCTACCTACTCCTCAAACTACCAAGTAAATGTTTAAAATACTCTTGTCTACAAGTAAAAATTTTAATTTACTGCAAATACAAACCCTAGTTACAATCCAAGACTCCACGGTGCCTTCAGGTTTGCCCACGCACTCCCATCTCCAATATGATATTAATCATTCTGCTGTTGCTTCAGTTTAGTCGATAATACCTCTCTGCCTACTGACTGGTCTAAGGAAGCAAAAAATACTAAGAAATTAAAGTGCCAGCAATTCTTGGTAAGCCAACAAGATTGTAAATAACTACCACCTTCAAACTGAATCCAGTTTAGGAGCTTCACTGATAGACAGTCAAAAAAAACAAACATCCCCTCTTTTCCCATACAAATTTAGTCAAAGACTATCAGCCAAACACTGTATGTGCTCCTGCATAGCTTATATCCAACAAGATTTTTTAGTCCATTACCACTGTAACCAGCATTTCAGAAGTACTGAATGGAACCTTCCTCAAAACTCCACCAAGGAAGAGAAACATTGAGAAAATATGCAATTAACCCACATCCCCAAAGGGAGCTAGAATCTCCTGTCAACAGCCATCGGCTTCAGCAGAACCTGCTTTTGTGTTTTCTGAAGTTCCAACTTTACCAGACAAATAAATCCCTAGAACAGTTTTCCCAGTGCTGGTGACTGTGCCTGCTGCACACCATTTATGCTGGAGCTCAGAACTTTCTCCTACAATCGGTTTGACTGCTGCCATTGGAAATCTGTGAATGGCAGCAGAAAAACTGGGAAGCAGCTCATCTCTGTCATTGCCAGGCTCCGGAAGAAAGGTAAGCAACACAATTTGCGCTGTCAGACAGTTCCTAACAGAGTGAAAGCTCAACAAGTGAAGCAACACCACTGCAGACAGAGAGAGGAGCGAGATGAAGGTAAACAGGCAGAAACATTGTTCAGTGTGCCTCAATAGCATCTCTCGAGCGCAGTTGCCACATTTCCTACAGAAACATCTACAATAGATTGACATCAAAATTTTGCAAATACCATTGAAACTACGGAGTACTTTCTTTGTTTCCACGTGCAGTCAGATGTGGTTAAAAACAGCAAGACCCTAATAATTCCTTGTCATAGCAGCAGTTTCAATTTTTGCTGTTGGTTATTCATGAACTTGTGACCACTGTTAACATAAGAAGCTCAATGTTTGCATTCTGTAGCATTTCTTTTGTAGGACTATCGATCTACACTCTGTCTCCAGCTACCCAAAGTGCTTCTTGTTTACTCTTATAATAATCCAAGCAAACAGAAGGAGATGACAGTAGCTGGAAATGGAATTTGAATCACACTTCAAAACTATTAAGACTCAGAGAAAACCTTTAAATACTGGGTCAGGTTTGCAAGTTCTACTGCATGCATAAAGAATGAAATGTAAAAATACACAGTTATTTGATGAAGTTATATCAGCAAATGGAGTATGAAATCAAACTGCAAGTTGAACAATTCACAAATACACAGTAGCCTTTTCATTCTTGACCTGTGGGATAGATGTGGCATGTTTTTGTTACTACTGCTGTGACAGCATTGTATGGGCACAGAAGTCTTCAACACCAGATATAAAAGCTCAGCTTTTTTGGTTAGGCTTGTTTTGGCATATTAGATTCTGGCTTCATGAGAAAGATCAAGAAAAGCAAACAATGATTAATTTCAAAGTAAATGTGAAGAAACTTACCTATGTCCCTCATTAAATCCATATTTTGGTATGACCAAGTAAAATGGAGTCTGACCACCCTCAAAGCCTAATCGGGGGCGATTTCCTCTTTGTCTTTCTCCTTTGTGACCTCGGCCACACTTCCTACCTCCGTATCTTCCACGGCCACGTCTTCTTTCCTTGAAAACAATCAACAATACATTTGGTAAACTACTTCAGAGAGAAGGAGCTATAAAATATAAGATTTCAGAGACACAAACAACTGAACAAAATGCTGATTCTTGAGAAAAATGAAGAGATAGATTCTTTCTGAGAGGAAAAATAGGAAAGCAGTTAATGTTTTTGCAGAGCGCAGCTCTAGGCAGGCAGCACAAATAGTCTGGGGACAAGCCAGCTTCCTTTGGTAGCAGGGATGGTTGAGTCTAGCACAAAACTGCAGTTGAATTCTGTACTGTTTAGCAGCTCCAGGGAGTCCTGAGTACTTACAGGAGAGCGCTGCTTGGTACTCCCTGTCAGTTCCCTATTCCTATGGTTTCAGCCCTTGAACCTCATCACCCTGTTTACTGATATTCCTCTCAAACCAAAAGGGTTTCTTCCTGGTTTCCTTTCTTCATTTCTCTACCATTTTATAAGGAGACAAGGAAGCCAACATTTAGTTTTGTTTTCGAGAAAGCAACAGTAACCAGAACGTCATCTGGCATCACATTCCTTTTCTTTGTAAGCTTTCTAACCTTCTCCTTCCAAACGCATTACCTCATCCCGCACAATGTGGTGTTAAAGACCTTTCACTATTTCCACCCGTCCCCAGCGATGGCCCCGAGGTTTAGCCAGCACCACTCATCATCCAGTTCTCTGTGGGGATGCCCATATACACAAGGCATGCAAGGGCTAGGGCAGGGTTAGCACACACAGCAGCGCCACCCACTCCTTTGCCTTTCCACTTTGCTCCATCTGTCCTTCTGACATTCCCGGAGGCAAACCACACCGGGATCGGGCGTGCCGCCCGGCAAGCTGCAGGCACTCACCCGCTTTCTGGAGCCGGGGTTGGGTCTCAAGTTGGCCAGGCTGACCCTGGGCAGCGAGCGCAGCAGCTCCAGGGCCCTGTTGCCGCCATTCCCGCTCATGGCCGTTCCCTTTCAAGGGCGCCAGCCGCTAGCGCGCCCGGCCGAGGCGCTTTACGGCACGGCCGTAAACCGCACCGCCCGCGCCTTCCCAGCAGCGTCGCGCCGCCGGCGCCGGGGCGGGCCCAGTGTTTTACTGATGCGTGAGCTGGGACTGCCAACGGAGTGGACAAAGGGCCCGCACTGCGTGTCGTTTTACAGCACCTACTGTTCTGTTACTCACACAGACCTCAGCCAAGTGTTTCAAAGCCGAGCCTTTAAAACCATCAGGCTGCATCGAAACCCGACTGGCTGAGGGTGCACTGAACATGGCTCAGCTCAAGGTGCTGTGTGCTTTGTGTCAATACAAATAACCTTAAGGCAGATACTCACTGGCAATATCTGTTTTGATTAGAGACTGTCGTGGTTTAACCCCAGCCAGACACCAAGCCTCATGCAGCTGCTCATTCACTCCTTCACGAGTGGGATCAGGGAGAGAATCAGAAGGGTAAAAGCCAGAAAACACGTGAGCTGAAATAAAGGCAGTTTAATAGGGCAAGCAAAAGCCATGCACACAAGCGAAGCAAAACAAGGAATTGATGCACTGCTTCCCATGGGCAGGCAGGTGTTCAGCCATCTCCAGGACAGCAGGGACCCATCACACATAATGGTTACTTGAGATGAAAAACAGCATCACTCTGAACATCTCCCTTCCTTCTTCTTCCCCCCCACTTTATATACTGAGCATGATGTCCTATGGTCTGGAATATCCCTTTGGTCAGCTGGGCGCAGCTGTCCTGTCTGTGTCTCCTCCCAACCCCCAATGCACCCCCAGCCTCCTCACCAGTGTGGTAGTATAAAAAGCAGAAAAGGTTTTGGCTCTATGTGAACACTGCTCAGCAATAACAAAAACATCTCCATATTATCAACCCTGTGTTCAGTACAAATCCAAAACATAGCCCCATACCAGCCACTGCAAAGAAAATTAACTCTACTCCAGTCAAGACCAACTGGCCAAGACAGAGACTTTCCTAGTACTGCTGCAGTACTTGATCCCATGTATTACTTCAATATTTTAAACTTAAAAGCAGACCTACTGGAAAGCCACACAGCAGTTTCCATTAGTATATTGGTCTGATGGGAAGGGTGTGCAGGGTGTAGGCTTACTGGAGTGAAGAACTGAATTGTAGAAGCTGCTGCTGAGGAGTTACAGAGCAGAAAGGCCACTTCCTTTTATGAAAGTCAGATGATATTCCTCAGTGTAATATTGTGCTTTCCATCCCAAAACTTCTGTTTGACCGATACCTTCTTCCATGTTGAATGTCTGCTTCAGATTGGAGGTCATGCAGAAGCTCTGCCACTCCTGAGAGTAAATGGGCGTAAAAATGGAAATCACATTGCAGCATGCTGTGAGTTTTAGTATGAAATCTGTATAGCTTCTTACCTCCTTAAAAAAAATTAAGAAAAATTATGACATAGTAGTAAACAAGATACTGGTCTGGACAACCATCTTATCTAAGCTCATTTTAGCCTTTAGAATAGGGAAAAATAGATTATTTAGAGCATGCTTTGCCTCGTAAAGCTCTCACTGCTTTAACCAGAAACTTGAAACAAGGTAGAAAAGTATCATTCCTGTGATAGATATCTCATTTTAAAGAGACAGACAACTTACCACTCTTTGAAAGGTCCATAATTCAGATGTTTTCAGCAATTCCTTCAGGCTTCCAGATGGTCAGTTTCTCAAACACTTGCCTGTAACCAGCACACTGCCCCATGCCTGCACAGGCAATCCTGATGAGTGTGACTGACTTGCTTGTGTCCAATCCATGGATAGCTCACAGTTCTCCAGTGGCCCTGAGCCATACTACAAGCAACCAGGAATTCAAGTAAGATCATTCCAGCTATACTGACTAAAATATTAAAAGCTTGTTCTATTTGTGAGCAGACTATTGACTTCTTAGGCTGGAGGTTCAGCAGTAGCTCACCTTATGGAAGTGACATTTACATGGTAAATAGCAGAGTAGAGAGGGAAAGCAAAATTTTGTTCATGTCCCAAAAGGATGATCTACAGCAGGAATCAGATTCAGCATACTTAATAAGCACCTGACATAATGTGAAGCTCCTCTAGAATTTTTTATGCATAAACTGTATTTTCTTAACAGACTTGAATTGGGTACAGTACATCAGGCAAGAGCACACACAGATGCAGAGACAAATCAAAACATAAAAAGTTACCTGTGAAAATAATCCACTTTTAGCAAAAACAAGGATGCCCTGGCATCAATACTGTGTATCCAAACAGCCTAACAATCACAGCAAAAGAGGATGCATGTTTAATGTTACACAGTTGGCACAAAGGCTTCACCAATATGTTTTATGCAGCTGTGATGGTAACGTTGTTGAGCAAAAGCTTTGTGAAAAATCATCCCTATCTAGTATGGAACACGCCACTGGGAAGGATGTGAAAGAACCACAGTGTGCATTCAGCTGCTGTTGGAGCTGCCAAAAAACCATCCATGTCAGCCAGATATCACCCGGCAAATACAATGAGTAGATTGACTTTCTGGCAGTAAATATATGACAAAAGATATATGGAACAGAAGACAAAGAACAAAGCATTTAGTTTTTATAGAAATGTGTTTGCCATACATATTCAGAGTTGGTCTAAGTACTTGGAATGGACTGGAACGATCCAGTAACTTCAATCAGAGTGCCTGAATAGCCTAATACATTTCAAGATGAGGAAGAATGGCTGTAAGACAAGAGATTTAATTTGGTGGTGAAGGCATCTGATCCGACGAGGAGAAATGAGTCCCGTCTAACAATGCTGCTCGCTGCATTTTTACTGTTTTTCCTGCCTTCCCATGACTCCTCTTTTACATTTTACCTATATAAGAACACCGCAATTTCCCTCTCTCACCTCCCCCCCGCCCCTCCGGGCGTTATAACCCAGCACCAAACCGCCCTCCCGCGCTCCTCCCACCGCGCCTCCGCCGCCCTCCCGCACCGCCTCCCCGCTGCTGGCCCGTGTCCCGCGGCCGCCTCGCAGCCCGGTGTATGTGCGGCAACAACATGTCGGCGCCGCTGCCCGCCATCGTCCCGGCCGCCAGGAAGGCCACGGCCGCCGTGAGTGCGGGCGGGGGGCGGGAGCGGCGGGAGGGGCCGCCCCCGCCCCGCTTTGTTCTGCGCGGCCCCGGGCGGGGGGCGAGGCGGGCCGGGCCCGCGGGGTATGGCGGCCCGGGCGGGCTGACGGGGCTCTCCCGGTACTTCCCTGCCGGACGCGGGCTGGGCTCGGCACCTGGAAGGTCAGCGGTGCCCCGGAGGGGCGGCCGCAGATGGCGGCGCGGGGCCGGGGAGGGGAAGGGAGCGGAGCGGAGTTTTTTCTTCTGAGAAAGTGGTGCCGAGCTCCGAACTGTCTCTGACCTTGTGTGGGCGTCTGTGGCTCGAGGGTGAGGTGCGTTTGGGTGGTTAGGGATCTTAAACCGCTACGTTTGGTTATTTTTGCTTTTGTTTCCCGCAGGTCATTTTTCTTCATGGATTGGGAGATACCGGGTGTGTATTCTGATCTGTTACCTTCTCGGTAGTTACTATAGTTTCAAATATAATCTGCATGTTTTAAAGACGTGAACAGTTAAAAGTTACTTAAACTTCTTGTTTTGCCCTTCATTGAATGCAGCAGCCAACAACAGATGAAACTTCATGTGTCCTGCAATAATGGTGACAGCTATTTATTTAAAATTTCCCAGCAAGTCCTCAAAAGCTTTTTCTTCTTTCTTTTCACTCATTTGCTTAATTTGGCCTGAATGTGATCCCTCTTTTGTTCTTGAGTCAAACTTGGTAGAAAAAGAAGTCTGCGGGGTTCTGATCTTTCGTTTTCCTGAGAGTGGGTTCCTGGTTATTCCTGTGCTTGTGTAAATTTAAAGTTCTTTTCTGTTCTGGACTTTGTGGATTGCTGGTTTGCCAATAGGCGCTGTTAGTCCGTTGTTTCTTCAGTATGTTGTACTTACGTAAAAATTCACATCTATTTGATTTATCTAAGCAAACTCCAAAGTAGTCACCTAATATCTACAGATTTCTTTCTATGAAATGTGGATTTCAGAGTATGAAAAAAACACCTAAATAAAATGTGCAATACCCTGTTTACCTCGTTCCTGTTATTTCCACGTTTGAGTAGAAATGGAAAGAGTAGTAGGGAATTTTTGGGAGGCATTCTAGCTGTGGTGTAATGTTTCCATTTGAAGCTTGTGTGTGCCCAGAAATAAGCATGCATTCATTAAAACCATTGAATTAACAAGTTAGGAGTGTGTTAAACCTTTTTAGTGCAAGACTTTAACGAAATTGACACTTAGATACTGAAAATAAGTAGCATGAATGCTTTGTCTGTTTTGCTTTCTTATGGGCAAAATTGCATATTTTTTTCAAGAACTCTGTTTTTGTTACGTGGAACTTGATTGTTGCCTCAAGGTTGAAACTTGCCATATTTAAGATGTAAATTTTTTCTGAAGAACAAGCAAGTCAGCTGTCAGAATTAAAACTTGCATAACCTGGACATTTAGAAAGTTTAAAAAAGAGTCAAGTCCAATGCACTTGGCAGTATTCTACAAGTGGAGATTTTCTGCTCTGATTTGTTGTGCTGACACAACACCTTGTTTGCGTTATCCCTCTTCCTTTTTGCTGGTAGGAGGCAGCTGAGGGAGCAGTACTGCCTGCATCTTGGCACCAAATGTTCAGCATATGATTGCAGAATCTTTTGAGCTTTTGGAATTCGAGTGCTTGCAAACTGCGTTGATGTTGGTTTTGGCAAGGGGTAAAAAAATAGAGACTTGCTCTTTATTGTAAGTTGTATTCCTTAGACAAGGTGGTGTTTCCATTGTGATGTCAAAGCTAATGCAGTCTCAAACTTGCAAATGCACTGAGTATGCTGAAATGTCTGCATTAACAAGACATGACACTTTTGGGGAAGTACAGTGATTTAGTTGTGTTTGTTCCTCTAGTCCACTGTAGATCAGATTAGATAAGCTGCCTTTAACATGCTACTGGGTTTTTTTTTAAATAAAAGCTGCAGTAGTGACCCAAAAAAGTTGTCTGAAGAGAACTTATTAACAATTTTATAACCTCTCCCAGTTTAAACTCACCTGTTGCACTTCACCTGAATTTTTAAACTGATCATTTCATTTTACCAACTGTAGTTTTCTTACACTGGGAAGTGTCTAACAGAGGTTGTGTTCTTTTTCTCTCTTAGCTCCTATATAAATGGCACTTAAAGATTGGTACATACTTGTGAAAAATCTGAACAAAAGGTACAACGTAGAGAATTGTTCTAAGGAGTTTGCATAAATGGGTATACACTGTTGCTTTCCAAATTTGTCAAATTATTCTTCATAGTTGGCTAAAAAATGCCCCCAAATTCTTAGCTATTTTTTCTCAGTTGTATTTCTTCTTTAGATTCTTATTTGGTCTTCTGTGATACTGCAAATGTTATGCAAGTCATATTACTTGCAATCTGTTAATAATATATATAAAAGTATTGGTAGGAAGCAGGCTGAGACACACGGTCAGCGCTTCAAATATCTGTGCTGTCTGTGTGTTGGAAATGCCTCTAACTTTTCAGGATGATATTAAAACTAAACCGAACATGCTTGTCTGCTGTAGGTCTGATTAGTTCAGCTGTGTCACTGATGAATTTGTTAAAGACGTTTTCTGCTTAGAATCAAATTTCCGATATCTAATTTAGTGGCTGAGTTAGGAATACTGAATGATGAGAAAATGAGGAAATAAAAGTACCATTGAGCGTTCTGGAAAGCCAAATGCAGACCCAGGCAGTGGTTCTACATGGGTTCTGATTTGGGTCAAGGTCAGTTCATGTCTAGATGAGCCCTGGAGTGAGTCTTTAAATTATGCTTTCCAGTGTTCTGGATTGGTGGAAGCTCGTTAACTCGTCTTCTGTGCAGACCTTTCGTTGTTCTGAGTGCTCATATAGGGCATGTGCTTGAGATTAAAAAACTGCTGCAGTCTGAAGTGGTGTTTAGGACTGCCTGAATCCAAGAGCATTTGAGCTGAGCTGAAGTTAACACGCCTGATTGGTTAGGTTGGCTTCACGTGGAGTTAGTTTGGATGTCAGTTTGCTGCTCTCTCGCATGAAGAAATGTGGTTCAGAAAGAGCAGAGTTGGCTGTGAAAGAAACTGCCGTAACTCTGCAATAGCAGCAAAGCAGCCTCTGAGCTGCTTGGAAGCAGGATACCTGTGTTCATCTGTTGTGCCACACAAGTTAATTAAGCCATACAGATACAGAGCAGGCTTTGCCTAGAGCCAAAGTGGTGTTTCTGCAGCTCTGTCACAAGTGTGGTAGTCAAATTAGATAAAGTCTTCCTGGCTGTTTCTATGCTACAAGCATTCAGATGCTCAACAAACCTAAGTTTAGTACTGCATTCATAGTATACTGTGGTTGATGTAAAAATTTTCTAGAAATGTGTTTATAGTGAGCTAATTCTGCATATTTCGTACTTGGACTGTGCTGATGCACCAGTATAGAAATAAGAGCTAAGCCAAAACATAAATGCAATTTAATATACTTTTTGTTAACAGGCATGGATGGTCAGAAGCGCTTGCAGGTATCAAAAGCCCTCATGTGAAATACATTTGCCCACATGCGTAAGTTTGTAACTTTCCTTGTTTTACCTTATTCTGCAGAGTTGCATATGAAGACATTTGCACAGATGATGAAGTCAAATGGGATTTGGATGTCTCTGCATTTTGGGTTTTTTATATAAAAATGCACTCTCAAATTATGCTGATGATATTAAGTATTTTCTTGGTTTTAGGAACTGCTGTGTGATTTACTTTAGGGCAAAACTGCATTTTTAGTTGTATTTTGTTTTTCTTACTAGTTCAGACTGAAAACGTATTTGGAAGGATTTATGTACAAAGTTAGATTATTTTGACTTCGTTTTCGTTGGATTGATTTGTTTGTTGCTTCCCCCCCCCCAACAATCATTTGTTAAAAAACAGTTTTATCAAGGAATAATTTTTGTTTGTATTTTACTTACCGTTACATGTAATTCGTATGAGGTACATGTGCTTAAGCTTGGGTGTGTATATAGTATATTGAAACTTGCTGTGTGGTACGGGGAAATTTAAAGATTCACAGGATATTCATGCTTTCAGGAAACAATGCAATTTGACCTGTCTTTGTGCAATTTGACAAGAGAAATACTTCTGAACAGAGTCGGGAGTCAATAAATAAAGCAATAAGATCTATCTAGTGTTTACTTAATGGTAGAAAAACTAATTACGTATAATGTTAATTTATTTTAACATAAAGTTCAGATTGTATTGGGATATGTGGAGCATGGATGATAGAGAAGTAAGCAATTTTTTGCTGATTACTGGGCTGTGATTGATTTATTTGTTTTACCACATGGCTGCGCTTTCCTGAGCCGTTCAAAAGGAGCTTAGCAAGATTTGCTGTTTTCTTTGCTTGCCCTTTGTCTTCTTTCAGTCTTTCCCTGCGGAACTTATGGTCCTCAGTTTCCATAGATTAAAATTAAAGCCAGGTTTGATCCATGGCATGGTCCATTGAAGTTGTCTTGATATGCCTGAAAAGATGACATACAGCAGCATAGGGGTGGGAAGGAGTCCTGCAGTGAAGGCAGGCTTTGCCTAAGCATGTATATATTAAAATATGTATATGATATATGTGCAGTTGCACACACACACATTTAAAGCAGCCCATTAATGTTTTGCTTGCTCTCCATAGAGAGTGGTAATTCAACCTTGAATATTAAATATGTTTGGGCTGGCAGGTTTCAAAAGAGTTTCCTTCAAGAGATGCTGCAAAGCAGCTCATGATAAATACAGTTTAAAAGTAAGACATAATTACATGACAGTTATGTCATGTAATTTCATGATGTAACTGCATGTGCATTGTTGAATTTCAGTATCTATCTTATGTCAGTGGTGTTCATTCTCATTTCCAGGCCAGTCATGCCAGTTTCTTTGAACATGAACATGTCTATGCCATCATGGTAAGTATTTGTACAATTGCAGATGATTCTAATGAAACTATATCCAGAGGTTTGAGCTCATTATTCTTAATTTAAAATCATGAACAACCTGAATGTCTGGTTTTAATCACATGCAAGTATAAAAAGCTTTTTGCTTTAGTTCTGTTCTTATAAAAGGGCTCTCATGAGTACACTAATTATGCTTGTGTATCTATGGTAATGGTTATTCCTCAGGACTAATCTGTGTGTCTTAAAATGGAAACCCCATTTTATTTTACAGGTACAGTGTGCATCATGTGTGAATTCATAGTCAGTAGTAGTAGAAACTTGCAGTAGAAATATTGTTGCTACTAGTGAGTAATATTTGGTAGGTCAGTATGATATGTAGAAACTGTTCTTTATAACATCCATTCTGAATAGAGAACAAGAAGAGTGTGGTAGATTTCAATGGTCCTAAACCAGTCTTCAGTTTTGTTGAGTTTTGATTTTGTTTTTTTTTTCTCAAGTAACTTGTGTTTGTTTTTCCTGTATTTCTTCAAACTATATTTTAATTTGTACATAGAACTGATAAATTGAAATTTCTGCTAATATTTTTGGAGCAAATATCAAAACTAAGCTGCTTAATTTGCAGTAAATTACAGAAGATATCAGAACTCAGAAAAGCTTTGTTGACTAGATCTAGCCTCTTAAGCCACATTTACCAATGTAAATATGTTTCTTGTAATCTATGGTACTAAACAATATGTCAGCTAAAATTTTTATCTGGAAAACATCCAATTTTTATTATTTGTGTATTAAGGAAGTGGAATGGATGCTCTAATGAATAACGCTCTTGTTGATGTTTTTGTAAGGTTTGATATCACTGGACTTTCTCCAGATTCACAGGAGGATGAAGCTGGGATCAAGCAGGCGGCGGAGAATGGTATGCTTAGGACTATTTTTTTGTGTCTGAAAAGTACTTCTCTGTATTCTTAAAAATGAATTATCTGTCCGAAACAGGTTCTCCAAAGGCGACGTTTTTAGGGAAAACAGTATGTATATACTGTATTATCACTGACCAACATTTGGCTAAATGCATTGTTTGGTTGGGTTTTTTTAACTTTATTAATAAGCAGAGTAATCACCAATATAAACACTTCATACTCTCAAATATGAAATGTACATGGGAACCAGCGTATTTTTTTTTTTAAGAGCTTTTGGGTAGCATGACGGCTTGGAGCTGTATGAGCATCCACTTGTGTTGCTTTTACTTAGAAGAGGACACCATCTTCCCAGCAGTGGGGCTTTTGGAAGACTTAGTTGTGTGCTTTTCCTCTCTGTGGCACTAAAATTTCTTACTGTGCTCTAGATATTTTGATACTTTTTAACATATAGCAGACTAGATTTTCCTTTCACTAGCTTTCTGTTGATGCCAGGAAGAAGGTATCTTTCTTGAGAATGGAGTGACTTTTAACTACTGGCCTTTATTTATGTTGCAGTTAAAGCACTGATAGATCAAGAAGTAAAAAATGGAATTCCTTCTAATCGAATTATTCTAGGAGGCTTTTCTCAGGTAAGATATGGTTGGAAAGGACTGTGTGGGGTTTTTTTCTAGAGAAGTTACCTAGCTTTCTTACAGTGGAAAATCTAGACAGTTGAATTGAAAAGACCTGATGTTAGATGCCTCTAAAATTTTAAGATGTCAATTTTCCTTTGCTTTAACAAATAAAGTTTTTTAGTTTTGTGCAAATGATTACTATTTACTGGAGAATGAATATGCATGTGTAAAAACGTACTAAAATTAATAGCCTATTTAAAATCTTTATGCAGATAACATATATAGTTTTACTTGAAAATCTTGCTGTATTTTGAGTTTAAATTTAATTTGGTAGATATTTGGTGGTCTGGATTTATTTGGCAAATCTTCCCTTCATACTTGTGGTAGGTAGCTGAGTAGATTAATTGGTCCATACATCAACTCCCCAGTCTGCATGCAAATAAATTGACATATTAAAGTAGTGATAATATTGTTGTGAGTAATAGTGTTTTATTTTTTTTTCACAGCTGTTAGTTACAGTAAATTTACTGGTTTACTTCTGAATTCATAACATGGTCTTGGAGGGGAGGAGAAAAAGCAAAACACAAGTACATAAACACTGTTTTTAGTGTTGGTTCTAAAGAAGGATAGATTGAAATAGAAAATGCCCTTTAAAAGAGAAATCAGAGATCTTGAAACAAGCATTAAGAGGGAGATTACTGTGACTATTCTAATACTTATGTCTCTTTATGTTAGGGAGGTGCTTTATCGTTGTATACAGCTCTTACAACACATCAGAAATTAGCAGGTGTTGTAGCCCTCAGCTGTTGGCTTCCTCTACGGGCCTCTTTTCCTCAGGTATTTATATTTCTTTCCTAAGATAATTTGCGCCTTTGGGGAGTGAGTATATCTCAAAATTGTACCTCCTGCAGGAGTTAGGGGCCATCGTTATTACCAGATATTGACAGTTGTTTGATAACTTCAAAGTTTTTAAAATAGTGCCCTGGAGTTTCAGATTTTGCTCAATAGGAAGCATGAATAAACGCTGAGTAGCTATCTATGTTTAAAATGACATTTCTAGAAAGTTTAAAGGATATAACAAATTTTCTGTGAAGATTAATTTCCTATCTGCCATTTGTTCCATCTGCAGTTGAATGAAGTTTCAGGGTTTTTACTTGGCCAGAAGTCATGTTCTTCTGTTCTGAAGTTTTTTGACAAAATGTTATTTGCAGGTCTTTGAGCTGAGTGTACTGTCAGATACAGAGCTTACTTCATAAGGAACTTGCAGACTATACATTGTATTTTTCCACCTCTCAGAATTCAACTTGTCATGCCACAGGGCGTAGTGCCATGGGGTTATTTTACTTCAAAGGTGTTAGAAGCCTTATCTCCATTTAGTGTCTCTTTCTTCTCTTCTCTTGTCTAATTCCACTCCTAGCAGGGCCCTATCAGTGGTGTCAACAAGGACATTCCTGTTCTTCAGTGCCACGGGGATTGTGACCCACTGGTTCCTGTAATGTTCGGTTCCCTCACTGTTGAGAAGCTAAAGAGTATGATAAATCCAGCCAATGTAACCTTCAAGACCTACTCTGGCATGATGCATAGCTCATCTCTTGAGGTACTTTTCTTAATATACAATGTTTTAACTGGGTATGGTTAATTCTTTTCCCTTAAAACAAATACTGGTTTTAGCGGGGGGAGAGGATGGCTGAGTTAGTTTTTGGTTGGTTGGTTTTGTGTTTGTCTTCATTTTTTTTTTTTTCCCAATAACAAGTGCTTCATGCTGCTGACTTATTTTGGTGAGTAACCAAATGCTGGGCTAAAAAAAAAGCATACAAAGCAGAAGTTTATATGACTAGTGAGAACTTCCTCATAAGGTTGTATTTTAGGGACTAGGCTACTTGGTCTATAAAATACTTTTTTTTCCCCCTAAATTTTTATTGTTTGCTTACTAACTAAAAAAAAAAAAAACAAACCGAAGAAAACCCTCAGAAACCAAACAAAGAAAAACCTCAAAAACCCAACCTGAATTGGAAGACATTCTCATAGCATAAATCCAGCATGGTATTCTGGAGAGAAGAACCCTGATAGTTCTATGGATGGAAACATAGAAGAATAGAGAGGGAGGACTGACATTATGGAAGAGGCAGCCTCAGAACCTATATTTATGATTCTGGCTCAGCAGGCAGCTGAGCTGATGTAATAACTTGCTGCTGCCAGAAAGGAGTGGACTGGTTCCCTCTGCTCATGACCTTTTGGCCCTCTTCCTCCTTGCACTGGCTCTAGAGCTGATCAGAAACTTCCTTGAACCATTTTGAACTTGTTAAAATGGCAAAAGCTGCTGGCTTCAGTTATTGCAGCTGTAGTGAGTTGAAGCATCAGAACTCACACAAACTAAGTGATAGGAGTAAGAAACAGAAGAGGAGGCGAGGAGCAGATCTGCGTTTGTCTGAATCCGTAACTTTTTTAATTTGGATTGTTGTATCTTGAGGGAACTGTACCTTTGGACAACCTCTCTGGGACATTTACACAGTAATATTGTATTTAGACAGTAATATCACTGAGTTGTTACACAAATATATTTAAATGCGCTCTTTATTACGACAGTGACTTAACTAAAAAAGAAAAATTAACATGGCTTAGTTTCCTGGTCTAGTTTGCTGCATTGCATTTCCTTAAGGAAGGAAACATCATGAAGATGAAACTGAATGGTTAGGAGGAGGAGCTGCTGCCTTTTCAGGCTGTTGCTAACTGAAAAAAGTTTAAAATATACACAAAGCTGTGGCTTTAGCTGCATTCAGATCCTATCCGTGGTCAGCCTGGTTCTATTCGGATCACCTGATGTTTAATATATAACTTGCCTGCTCAATGTCAGAGAGAGAAAAAGTAGCCTTTGCTCTCTCTTGTATTTTAGCCTCTTCTGAAGAGACTTATCAGCCTTGACTTGTGTGCAAAGTGGTATGATTTTATCAAGTAACTAATTACTCAATATTTATAGCCCAGCTGCTCATTATAACTGAAATGTTGAAACAAGATTTAAGTGTAGCTGAATATATAGTAGTACTGAACTTCAACTAATACATACTTTCATACTTTTATCTTTGAACAGGAGATGATGGATGTAAAACAGTTCATAGACAAACATCTACCTCCCATAGACTGAATTGATCCGTGAGAAGCCTTCTATATAAATACACCAGCATCAACTGTGGTAGAGTGTTAATCTTTTCATATGCCTGATAGGAAGCATTATTTCTATACCTGCAGTGTTACTACTGTGTTGCAAATTTATACTTAGGATGAGGATTAAATAATACAAATGTACAAGAAATGATAATCTTTTTAGTATTCATCACCCACTGGTGGGAACTATATAAATGAGGGGACTAGGTAACAATGACAGAATGTAACCCTAAACGTACCATTTTAAGATGTCTGATTTTTTTTTTTCTTTGATTGCAGAATTTTAAACTATTTGTACAGGTAATTAAAAACTAAATTTAAGTGAGCCACACAGATGTGACCAGTTTAGTTGTACTTGAGACACGGTTTGTTCTTAATACTCGCTGAAAACATATAGCAGCATTTAAGTAATGAATGCGTAAAGTACACAACGTGGAACACAGTGTACATAAAGTACACAACATGTAACGTAGTGGGCATGGGTAGAATAAATGCTACTGAGAATAAAGCTTTAAAGATTGTGGGTTAATTTTTTAACGGATAAGGAGGGTTGATCTATAATGGCTAGAAGTCAGCTAAGGTATTTCTTATATTTAAAACACCTCCATTTTAAATTGTTCATATAGGTAGATACTGTGGAAATTCTAAAGGGACTCATTCCTTGTTAGGCTGTCCTTTGTCACTTATTGTCTGTCTTTGTTTTTTTAAACTTGTTGCAAATGTTGACTTGGAACAGAATTCTGAAGAAGTGCATAGGATCAATTTGAGTTTGATTAAAGAAGTCTTGTTTTCATACTGAATATGCTTTAGTCATTGTAGCTTTCATTTTTGTGTGTATTTCACATGAGCAGTTACAGCATACAGTTTTGATTTTTTTTTTCCTCTCTGTCTGTTTGAACTAACTAACTGAAAATAGCGTAGCTGTGTAGTTTTGTGTATTGCTGGAATCTCATCTGCAACACACACATTCACTTATTTGAATTATTTTTGAATAGAAATATTAGTGCAATTTGGATATAACTTACCTAAACTTTAAATTGATACCATATAATACTTTCTCTTATTGAATGTTGAGATTTGGGGTTTTTTTGGGGTTTTTTTGGTTTTTTTTTTTTCTGAAAAGGAACAAAGCATTTTATTTTCAAATATATCAGTCTGCATTTCCCCAGATCAGCATAGCCTAGGAATATGAAGATATACCATGGAAAAAAAATTAAATCTGCAAGATACAAAATGTTTCTTCTTTCAGAAGCTTAAAATAGCAGGATGCAGTGGGTTACAGGAATTGATGCACACTCAATAGCTTTTTGCATTTAAGAGCCACAATTTACTTCTGGCAACTGCTCTTCTGTGGAGCTCAGAGGCTGTCACCACACTAGGAATGCTTAACATAATGCACTACACTTTTTACTACATAATATGCTGCATAACAATGTTCTATACTATGTTTTCAGTCAAAGAATATTCCTATTTTGGATGCATCTCTCATGTCAGCACTGTGCTTCATACCTGTGTTTAAGGTACATTTTCTTCTCCCAGCTTAATCAAGGGGGTCCTCTTAGAGTGTATATGGATTTATGTCTGAGGCATCTGCCAGTGCAAATACATAAGTGGGGAATTATACTTCATTTTTAGGAAGCTGTTTTTCTCTTCTAATCCAGTTGCTATGGATTATGAAATATCACTTGATACGTAAAATTAAAAAGGAGTTTTCTTCCTAAATGGTAATGAAACAGTTTTAGATACTCCATCTGTGTAGTTAAGAGGGCATGTTTATTAACTTTGAAGTTTAATTAGTCATTTCTCTCAATCACTCTCTTCTATAGATCTGCCAATTTGTCTTTCAGTTAATTTAGTTCACAGAAGAAACCATAATATTCTTATTGTAGTTGTGCCAAAGTTCTCTTGAGAAAACAGTATGTTCTAGCTTGGAGTCATTCCCAAATTGCATTAGGTAATTTTGCAGTCCTGCTGAATTGCAGTCTTGGTAAGCAAACTATATGGTATTTCTCCTAGTTTTTAGATTTATTTTCATTCCCCTGTTGTCTACATATTTCCCTGAATATTGGTGTGTTTCCAAAGTTCTTGGATGAACTTATAATTTTTACTTCATTACTTTCATGTTCTGTTTGTAGATTTGTTGATATGCTGTTCAGCTGTCTTAAGTTCTAATTGACTGTGCCCTTATTTCATATATTCCTCCTTCTGCAAGAATGAGTTTAAAAAAGTATTTCTAAGACTTTAAAATGAGATCAGTCCTAACTTAATTCTGTATTAGCCTCATAACACTTTCTTCAGTTTGATGAACTGTATTTACAGCTTGTGGTCAGTTTCTAATACTTATGCATTCTAATCCCAGTCAGCTTCAACTGTCATCATTGTGATCCTTTCAGATGTTTTTCTATAAATGCTTTTTATGTGTTAACTTTGTTCAAATACTCAGCTATCATAACAAGATTCTTTTTCATACTGCTGTTTTGCTGCTTGATTTATCTACAAAGAGCTGTTACCAAAGTAAATATCAGTAAATGTTTTGACTTACTCTGAATTTCTGTGTTCTAGGAAGAATTCTCCTCATTTTCTTTTTCAGGAGTGTATGTTTATGTTGTAGTTGGGGGTTGTTAAAGAGCCCAGAAGCTAGAGGAAACTTCAAGTCTGTATCTTGTCCATGAAACAGTGTGTATCTCGAGCTCCTGTCTTTTGTAACTTCCTGGCTGGTTTGAAAACTTTGAGTATGATCTTATAGCTGAACTTCATCATTACCTTAAGTGATTTGATGTTGGACTTATTGTCATAATGCATATACATGAGACTGAATGATGGCTCAGTCTGGTGGGGGAGTTTTCATAGTGTTCTATTAAAATGGAGAACTTGGACTGTCAGTGTTCTAAATATGAATGTCCCATCAGCGAATGTCCTACAATTTGAAACTGTCCGATAATGAAGTTTATTTTTTGTAATCTTAGACTTTCCACCAAAGGAAGTGGTGTCTGTCAAAGGTGTGAAAACAGTGATACGAAAATACCTTGCTTGCAGATCAGTTTGTTTGAACAGGCATCTAACTTGCTAATGTTAATTTCAAAATGGTACTTAAATTTGACTGCAGTTTTGTGCAATGATAAGTCTGACTTCTTGTTGGAATATGTCGCCCACTTTTTAATAAACATGTTGAGTTATATATTATAAGCCAAATCTTCCAGCCATTCTTGAGGTAAACCTGTACTGGGGTCTGTACTGTGGTGAGGGCTGTATGATTTGGTCTCTTCCTACTATTTTGTGTAATTACAACACAGTAGATTGCTAAAAGTACTGTACACTGTAACTGGTATTAGAACTGTTAATTAAAAGATGTTCTCTCTAATGGAGTATACTGCACTTCATTGAAATAATTTGTATGCATCTTTTATGTAGAGGTGCTATTTGGGATGATGGATAGGACTGAGACCAAACTGTGTAAGATGTTGATAAAGCCATATGTACAAGACCTATGTATCTTAAATTTTATAAAGAAATGCTGAACGTTTACTCTTTGTGCTATGAAATATAAACCATTTATATTTAATATAAACATCTAAGATGTAATTTATTTTACTCATTTTATTTATGATAAGAAATCTTAACTTGGAAATTATTTCTGTAATAGGGAAAATGTAAAAATTTCCCATTTTTTATCATTGTAAAATAAATTTCCATTGGCGTTTAGGCAAGTACTAAAGACTTTTTCCATACTTACCTTAAAGAAGTTGAGCTTTCATGTGCTGTGAAGCAGGAACTCTAGAGGCTTCTTGCAAATACATTGCATGATAATATAATACAGAAGAATGATGATTTGTAGTTACTGAAGGGAAAATCACTCACCAAGATATGTTCTGCTACATTGTTGTGAGAATGCTAAGTATAATTTTATTTTTTTTCATATTCTGGGTTAATTTTATTTAATTTTTCTTGTAATTTTGAAAGGTAGAGAAAATTAAGATATTTTCTAGTAGAGTTATTCTAGGACACTAAAGAGCCAAAATCTTTTCACTCTGTATTGCTACACCTTTCTCTGGGAGTTTTGTGGTGTCAGGGAGGGTTTGAAGTTATATTAGGTTTGGCATGCGTACTACTCAACAGATTTGTTAAAGAAACAGTTTTCAGGTCAGGGGTTACATGTTCTATTTAAGTTTAATATTTGAGGGTGACCAGTGGTATACATAGTGCAGGGCACTCTAGAGAAAATTCGAGGTTATCTGGGAAGCGAGGGAATGGGGTGTACATGTGGTAAAGGCAGACTTCCCCCCTCAAGCAGCTCAAAGCAGCTAAAAGGCTACTTGTCTTCACAGACTCCTCCAAAAATCAGTGTGCAATATGATGAGGAAGTTCATGAATGTACAGGAATGCCTGATAGATGCAGTGCTCTATGTGAATATGTAGTGGCAACTTCTGTGAATATGTAGTGGCAACTTAAGAGTCTAAGAGTAGCTGGTAACAATGAAGATGCAATACTGCACAGAGTAATCTGGCAGTTTATATTTTATGAGAAACGTTTTGAGTAATGTTCAGTTTCTATTTACTTTCAGCCCTGGCATCCCTGATAAGATAATTGTGACAGGAAACCTTGCCTAAATTTAGTATAGAAAAAAAAAAACCAACCAAACAAACAAAACCCCCCCCCAAAACCAAATCAACCAACCAACCAAAAAAAACCAACAAAAAAACCAAACAAAACCAACCAACCAACCAAAAAAACCCAAACAAAAACCAAACAAACTAAAAAACCAGCCAAGTAAAAAACCAACCAAACAAAAAAAACCCAAAAAACCAAACAAACAGAAAACCAATCAAACAAAACAAAAAAACCAAACAAACCAAAAAAACAACCAAACAAAACCAAACAAAAACCAAAAAACCAACCAACAAAAAAACAAACAAACAAAACAAAAACAAAACAAACAAAACAAAACCAAACAAAAAACCCCAAACAAACAAACAAAAAACCAACCAAACAAAAAGCAAACAAAAAACCAAAAACTAAACAAACAACAAAAACAACAAACCCCCAAAACCAAATCAACCAACCAACCAAAAAAACAAAGAAACAAAAAAACAAACAAACAAACCCCAAAGAAACAAAAAAACCAAACAAACCAAAAACCCAAACAAAACAAAAAACCAACAAAACAAAAACCCAACCAAACAAAAACAAACAAAAAAACAACCAAAAACCAACCAAACAAAAAAAACACCAAAAAACCCAACCAAACAAAAAACAAACAAAACCCCAACCAAACAAAAAACCCCAAAAAACCAAACCAACAAAACAAAAACCAAATAAACAAAAAACCAAAGAAAAAACAAAAAAAAAAACCAAAAAACCAACCAAACAAAAAACCAAACAAACAAAAAACCAAACCAACAAAACAAAAACCCAACCAAACAAACAAAAAAACAAACAAACCAAACAAACAAAAAAACCCCAAAAACCCCCAAAGAAAAACCAACCAAACAAAACAAAAAACCAACCAAAAACAAACAAAACAAAAAACCAACCAAACAAAAACCAACCAAACAAAAAAAAACCAAAAAAACCAACCAACCAACCAAAACAAAAAACCAAAGAAGCAACGAACAAACAAAACAAAACCCAAACAAACAACAAACAAACAAAAACAAACAAAACCAACCAAACAAAAACAAAAACAAACAAGCAAAAACCAAAAATTAAACAAACAACAAAAACAAACAACCCCCCAACCCCAAACCGACCAAACAAAGAAACAAACAAAAAACCCCCAAAAAACCAAACCAACCAACAAACAAACAAAAAAAACAAACAACCCCTCCCCCCAGAAAAACCAAAACAATACAATGTAGTACTGCATTAAACTTTATCAAATGCGGTATGAGAACACTGGTGTCAATGAAGAAGCTGACTCAGGAAATTTTCAGAATGTCTGTTGGTTAACTTGGAAATGTGATTCTTTGAAGATGAATAGCTGTAGAACAGATTCACCCTCCCTGTCTCCCTCCCTTTTTTTTTCTTCCTTCTCATTGCTTGCCACTCTCATCTTGCCACCATTTGCCTTTGGGATAACAGGTTTTATTAATTCTCTTTAAGTTGGACAGGTGCCTTTGATGTAGCTGATTAAAGCTGATTTAAACCAAGTACTTGTATAATTTAATGGACATCCACAAAGTGAATCAGTAGATCATGCTTTTCCCTTAGTACTAATTATTAGAAGAGAGCAACCCATTGCCTCCTTTTTTATCTGTAAAACTTAAAACTTCTAGCCAGCTGAGGTGTAGTGAACTTGCTTAAGGCCTTGAAGTGGGAAATTTAGCTTCTCTGTGTGGAAAAGATTACTTCTCTCAGGGATTCTTTTTTTAAAAGGCTATTTCTTTGCATTAACACATGAAGCAGATGGAGTCTAAAAGTTGGAGTCTGAATGTTCCTTGGTTGTGAATACGAGCAAAGTCTTAAAGTGGCTTCTGTTTGAAATAATTTGCTAGCTGGGTTGTAGTATTTAAAATTATTGGAGGGGATCTTTAATAGTCTTAAATACTTTACGTCTGTATAGAAAAAATAAGTAAAAGTAGCCATAGAATAGAGAAATCTAACCATATGAGCTTGAAAAAAACCAAAACCTTTTCTTAATTTTTTTTAGTATTTAAATGCCTTCAGTTATTGCTTCTAAGTTGAAAAAGTAAAGACATTTTGAAAATGTAAATAACATTTTTGAAAAGTAAATTAAAAAAACCCCAACCTATCTGTTGAATAACCATAGAACAACTAGTAGGATGCATAGTAGTGTTTCAGAAATTTTTGAGCAAAGTTTTGTTGTTGTGAGGAATTGGAGCTTCCATTTGCTATAGCTCCCCTTATGTGTCTGTGATTGGACTCATCTCTTCCTCTGCAATGGTTGGGGACAAGTTGGCTGATTCAGACCAATTGAGATTCTGTTTTGGTAGACCTAAGTCCCTGTTGCACTGAGGATTCGAATGAAGATGAGAGTGGTAAAGGGTATAACACATGGTTACATAAAACCTTTTGCAATGCTGTTAATGTTATATTTTACATAGTTGTGTTAATGCCTGATTAGAGGAGCTTTCTCCATACAGAATGTTAGTCTTGAAAATTGAGGATTTTAAGTACCTTGATAGCAGTTCAGAGATCCTTCACGACAAATTTCGTATGTGCTCCTGTTTGCCCTTCCTGCCCCAAATTGCTGAAGATGCTGTTTCACATCAAATACGACTAGTCAGTAAAAATTTACATTGTTTCGTTTGTGCACTCTCTTAGGAGGGCCATCTCTGCCTGTTAAGTCTTAGTGTTGTTGAAGGTCCTGTTGTCCAGCAAATGACAGGCTGTAGCGAGTTCAGCACAGGCTCTTTGGATGAGAACGATGTGCTTTGAGTACAATGCCTTTTAGAAAATGTTGGTGAAAAGAATGGAGAGGATATGCCACAACAGGTAAGTGCAGTGCAACAACAAACTGTGTTATTTCTTCTTTCTAATGGGTTTACTTAGGACAAAGAAGCTAAACAGAAAGGAAAAGGTTGCATAGTTTAACTTTTGCTTGGTCTCTTTTCCCTTTCCTACTGTTCTTTGGACTTTGAGTGACAGAAGGGTTTGATGCTGTACAGAGCTACTGGGTTTAGAATCAGCTGAAAGAGAACAACCATGCAGAGTGCTGTGTGTTTCTTTTCAATAAAGAATTGCTGTCCTGAGGGTGGTAGAGCAGCTAATAGAAAGAATCTGGTTAATACTGGTTCAGTTAATTGACATAATTCTGATATTGTAGCATACAATAGGAATAATGTGAGCTGTATTTTATTTGCTTTTAATGCATCTATTTGCGAAGAAAAGGATATGCATTACTGTCTGGTTAATCTTTCATTTCTCTACTAAAATATTTCTGTGATGCTACTTTTATAAGTTTAGATGTTAAGTAAGCATGATGTGCTTTCCCCTTACAGACCTGCAGCAGGCCTTTTGTTAGTGCTGCCATAGCATTTAATTTACAATGATCAGTTCCTCACCTGATACATTTTGGATGGTAATAGATTTCATATGCATCTTTTAACTCTTTCCGTGCATTCCATGCATGTCCAATGAACATGGTGTTGAATTGTATTTTTAAAAGGAATGTTGAAAAAGTCTGGAAGACTTAATTCCAGAACTTAAAGATGTTTAAAGTAACAGTACTGACTGATTTGAGATTTCTGATTTTCTGACTGTGTTATCTGTGACCTAACTTGTACCTACTGTAGGACACGTACAGGCTTGTTTACCATGTAGCGTAGCAATAGCTCTCAGCTGCTAATACACTGTGTGTTGCTTTTATGTTGATGTGATGGTGGGAGAAGTGATGATAAACTTCATTTGAGGTTAGCATCGGGTTAAATACCTGTGTTGACTATTACAGGTACTAGCTTATTACATCTAGACAAAATGGATTTAATCTTGAACTGGCATGAACCCTTAAATGTTGTGACAAGCAGTGCTATTTTATTTTTTTTCTCACCCAAATTTGTTCCTGAAAGAAAAGGTATTATTTTCGTTAAGGAATCATTCCTTTGTTGTCGTGGGTTTTTGGTTTCCGCTGGGCAGAACAAACAAAAAAGCTGCAGAGAAAATTTCTGTATGCTTGGCCAGTTCATGGCCCAGATCTAACCTGTGGGAAGATCCTGTGTAGGTCCCATATAATTTTAGTTGCTTCTAACATGTCTGTCTATGTGCAGGGCTTTCAAGTGGCAGATGCTGCAACCCTTGTGTGCACTGAGCACGATGTAGAAGTGCCTGGAAACCACCCATCTCTGTATAGCTTCAAAACACAAGACAGTCTTGCTACCAAGGGTATGACAGACAAGTGTACTGATGGTTCTTGCTATAATGGCTTCCTTGAGTGTCATTCAAGGAAAAGGCCTACCTCACCTCTTCTCCAAAATGTACATATTTTACAGTCCTCAGTTTACAACTGGGGCATCCACAGCATTCAGCTGCTTACTAATAATAGATTTGAGCTGCTGTATAAGCCCCCTTCTGCATCTTAGCAGGGGATAATCTTTCTGTAACCTTCAGATATGCTTCCTGTTTTCGTGAGGTAAACTCTCCTGTTCTACAGCAGAAATGGCTTAATGATGCTGTTCTCGACCACAAATTGTAACAAGGCAATATAGCTCAATTGATGAGCAGAACTTCATTGATGATACGCAGAATAAATAATTGGAGCTCTATAGATATGATATGCCCCACTAGAACACACACAAGATTTAGACTAGCTCTGAGACTTAGAAGCACTCTAGCACTTCACTGTGTGGTGCTTGGCCAATGGCAAAAGTTTATCTCCAAATCTTGTCTCACTGACAAGCCTCAGTCCTAGCACAGTGTGGGTATCCCTGCCAGATTGGCTCTTGGATTGTCAGACAGGGAAGCTTCCTTAACACTGACTCTGAACTTTTGTTCGAAGACGGCAATTTGAAACCCTCACTCTGTTTCATATGAAAGTCGCTCCTTCTAGATAGACTTTAAAAAACCCCCACCCCTTTCTTGTTAAAGGGAAGAGGGTATTTTCCCATCCTTTTGACGCTGATAAAATCAAGTGTCTGCTGTATTTCTCTGCTTCCTGACAGCTGAAGGAAAGCTCGGTCATGGGAAGCAAATGACCGGCGGGATGGATTGCTCTGTGTTACGCGGGGTGCGAAGAGGAGCAGCGTTAGCAGCGCTGCTGTGGGCGGGAGAGAGTGAGAGGTTCACAGAATCAAGGTATTCTGACTTTGCCCTGCACAGGACACCCCAAGAGTCACAACGCGTGCCCAAGAGCGTTGTCCAAACGCTTCTCGAACTCTGTCAGGTTTGGTGCTGTGACCTCTTCCCTGGGACACCTGTTCCAGTGCCCAACCAAGGCATTTAATTGTCCTCCTGGTGCGTTTGGGGCTCTTTGCGGGACGCGGTAGCAGCCGCGCCGCCCCGCCCCGCCCCTGCTCTCGGCGTGCCGCAGCACTGCCTGGCTGCCGCGGCCGGCGCTCGACGCTCGCTGCCTGGCGCCGCCGCCGCCCGGGCCGCCGCCGCCATGGCCACGGAGGACGAGATCATCCGCATCGCCAAGAAGATGGACAAAATGGTGCAGAAGAAGAACGCGGTGAGCGCCGGGACGGGACGGGGCGGGAGGCGAATCGGCGGCGGCGCCGCGGGCCCCGGCGTGACCCCGGTCAGCCCCGCGCTCCCTGCTCCCAGCGGGCCCGGGCCTTTCGCGCTCCCGCCGCCGCTTCTCCCCTCGCTGCCAGGCGGCCTCGGCGCCTCCTTCCGCCCCGCGGGGCTGCGGCGGCTCCCCCGCCCCGCCGGCGCAGGAGGGGGGCCCTCGGCCCGGCAGCCGGCCCCGCTTCCCGGCGGAGCGGCCCCGCCGCCCCAGCCCCGGCGCCTTCAGCGGAGGCGGTTCCCGCCCGGGCCCCCGCCGTGAGCGGCTGCGGAGGGCTGCGGAGGGCTGCTCCCTTCGCTCCCTATTCACTAGAATCGCGGCGTTGGCCTCGCTTGGGGGTTTGTGGGAAGCCCAGTCCCCTCGAGGAGAATGCTGCAGTGGTGGTCCCCTGTGGGTCGGTGCTGTCACTTTCAGGCGCGAAAGCTGGAGTTTTATGTGGGATGTGCCAACTAAGACGTGAATGAAGAACCCGAACCCTGCTGCGGCAGGGCGGCCAGAGTCGTGTGGGTAAACTTCAGAAGCAGATGGGGAGTGTGAGCCTCTTTCTTTCTTTTTTTCTCTAACCTGAAACACTTTAATTCTGTTTATTAATCAGGAGAATAACTTGTACCCGAGAATAGAAGTAGAATATCATTAGGCAGAATTCAGTTAGCTTAACTCAATTATTATGTGTGCCCTTCATACAGAACTTACTTAGGTAACATATGTTTATACTATTTCTATAAATCCATCAAAGTAAGTAAAATCAGGGTGTACAACAGCCAAATAACTGATTATGGTTACATAAAATAGCATGTAAGTAAATTGTAAACTCTGTTTACTACTTCTATATTGGGTGGGCACGTTGTTATTCTCTGGAAATTTGTGTGTTTGTGATTATTCTTCCTGTGATTTCTCTGTGACCTGGGAGGGTTAGGAGTTTGGATAAAATTCCTAGCAGCAGCTGGGGACGTGTATCTACGCTCTAGTATGTGTAACTTAATTAACTTTCAATCCTCAGTGGAGGGTGCAGTGACTTCGCTGGGGTCAGTGTAGGTCTGATGTGGCTGAACACAGCGTGCACAGCTGGGCCTGGCTGGAGCCAGTGCTGGGCCTTGATTTTCACCTCTGTCCCAGGAGCAAGAGTGTGAGTAGTACCAGAGAGCGCTGTACGTTTTTACTGTGTCGGAATAGAGCTCATTTGCTCCAGCTCCTTCCTGCACACAAGTAACAACTCTGTTGTTAGTTTGACACTGTCTCAAACCTTCTGAAGCCGAGGGCTTGAGCTGCTGATGTGGCCAGGAGTCGAGATCTGACAGTTTGTCCAAAATACATGTGTGTACAATGATAAAACCCCTTAGTTTTTATCCCTGGCCAACCCCTTAGGAAGGAGAGGATGTACATCGGTATTTAACACAGGAGATATCTCTGTGTTTTCCTTACTAGTCTTTGTCATTTATAAGATACCTTCTTTAATTACACATTCTTTAATTGCACAATGTGATTTCCTACCTAGTTCCGCACTGCAGATAAAATACTATCTTTAGCAAACTTATTAAAGTGATTTCCATGAAGAGGTACTTTATTGTCTCACAAAGAAGAAGAAGAATTGAGAAACTCATTCTTACACAAGTACCCACTGGATAATGATGCCCTTGACAACCTCTTGTATTCCTTTCTCCATTTTACTCATCAAGAACAGGTATTTGGGCTGTTTCTCTGAATGACAATGATTTGACAAAACCCATTAATAGTAGAAAAAAAAAAAGCATTGATACTTTTTCACTCTGAAGTTGTCAAGACTCAGGTGGCAAGAGATGCTTCATGTCTCATACAAAAGGTGACTCTGTGGCTTGTGGCAGAGCACTCCTTGGCATTCCTTTTGATGAGTGGAAAAGGCAGGTCATGCAGACACCCTTTCTGAGTCAGACTCTCGGGGATTGACTAAGGATTTAATTGTAGCTGTGCAGATTTCATAACTATTTTAGTAAAGTGATATATGCAGTTGTTTTGTTTTGAAGGGGTAAATAGTAATGTGATAGAATATTTAATGCACTGTGAGATACATATTTCTGCTGTTGCTTCAAATGGAAATAGATATTAGTCCTCCTTCAGAATATCTGCAGTTGGATTAAAAGCTGCAGTGTCTTCCTCACAGCTTTTGTTGTACATCAGTATACTTTTCTTTCATTAAGCTGTTGTAATGAATAGATGTGAGAAATAAGGCTGCACCCGTGGATTAAAAAAAATCAAGAATGGTTGACAAGAGAATATAAAATTGTCCATGTTATTGTTTACTCCCTTAAGTAGAACAGAATTATAACTGGATAGCTCTGCTGTCTTCAAAAATGCACTCCATTGTCTGTTACCTGAAGCACAGCTTTAAAATGCGAATATAGACCACCATTCTGTGGTGTTATGATCTGATCAACTGAGAGAAGCTGAGAGGAGTAATCTGCTAAATCTGCATGAAGCTGACTTCTGTTAATTTAAGTAACAAGGTAAACAGGAAGCCAGCCAACCTGGTGCTATGGGGTGTTGCCTTTCACTGTCTATAAATTTATAGAAATGCCTTTAAAGAAAAATTTATAATAATGGTCTTAATGGTTGGTTTTTTTTATAAACAGAGAAGTCCTACATTAGAAAAAAAAGGACTTGCAAGTTGTACTGTGCAACTTCCACTTTGGTTCTGAGAAAAAGAGGGGGTTTGACTTCTATGCTATGAAAAGGGGTTATCAAAAACTGTTTAGTTGGTGTCAGTTTAAATTCCATTTAAATTTAATTTTAAAGTATCTAATTCTTGGTGCACAGTATAATTGATTAGAGAAGTGTGAAGGCTTGGAAAGTATTAGTTCATTAGAAATTTTGGTAATTTTCTACAGAAACTAATATAAAATATAGGTAATATCTGTTAACTTGTTTTTGGTGTTGTTTGTTTGTTTATTAACCTCCTATGTATCAAGTTCCTAGTCTTGAAAAATGTTTACTCTGGGAGTAATAAAATTGTTTTGACATGTACAATTGGAAAGGGGTATAATAGAGGCAAAGAAATTTTGACTAGATTGTATTTCTAAGATGAGATGAAGAGTGTGCTGCTTTGCATTATAGTGTCACTCATGCTGAAGTTGCAGACTACAATAACCCGTGTTTATTGAAGTTACTGTTTACAGTTTGCTAGTAACTTAATTGGTTGAGAGGTGTTATCAGATTATTTTTGAAAACAGCACATTGACTTCTGTCATTAGTTTTGTTTCAGCTAAGAAAATTTCCTTGAATTTAATTTTGTTTTGTAGCAGTGAAGGTAATTAACTTGCTTTACTTGAATCTAGGTTTGCAGAAAAGAAACCAAGTTTATGGCTGTTTAGAGAAAGAAAGGGTTTAGTATGCTAACTCAGTTTAGCACCTGAAACAGCATGACATTTCTCAGTCTTGCATCATTGCAGCTAAAATTCTGTGGTTAAAACTGGAGAAATTTTGCATATCATGAATAAAAGTTAAATAAGGCTTTTTGCTAGCTTAGCAAAATAGTAAAACTTTAATTTTATAAGTGAATTGAATTTGTATAAGGTGGTATTTAGTGAAATGTTTGATTTTGGAGGCTTGAGTCAGAACTGTTTAAAAACAGAGGTTGTAGCAGACAGTTGAAGGTGTCCAAACCTGTGTTTCTTTTGCTGTGACACAGATGTTCTACCTTCATCTTTCTCAACCTCTTGGTGGTTATTTGTGTTATTTGTTGTGCTATCTTTAGTGGTTAAATTGGAAGACTTGCAGTTGCAGCAGAACATTACATGTTTTCTTGCACCAGGTGACATATTAGAAGTTGATTAGGGAGAATTTGAAAATAAAGGCAAGCAAAATGCAAAGCAAAATAGGATTAGTTGAGACAGAGGTAAGGAAAGAAAAAGGCATCAAATTCCAAAGAATTGCAAGGTGGAAATTTAGTGGGATTTATTTCCAAATCTCATGAATTAAAAAAAAAAAAGTGGGAAGGCAATGAACTGGGCCTAAGTAGAATGGCCTCTTAGATGCAAAGGCATCTTCTTGCTCTTCGTAACTCACAGGCTCAGCAGCACATGCACTTGAATTCAACAACCAAATCATCTCAGCCTTTAGGAGGTTTCTATTGTCTGACAACCATGTGCACGATACGAAGTGGATGGTGCAGAGCTTTGCTGAAGCAGAGGTGGTTAGGTGGTAGGGAAGGTTGTAGAGGTTAAAGAGAATTATGGATCTCACATTTATGAAACCTTTTTTTTTTAAGTAAGGCCAACATTGCTAAGGAATGAATTGTTAGAGTAGATGCGTATAGACTTTGTTAATACCTAATGTACAGTTTCTGAATTGACTCATCTGTCTAGAAAGTTGCTGCTTACACAGAAGTTAGTTAGGACCTTTCCTTATAGTCTTAGCAAGGGAAAAAGAAAATCTCGTGATATATGGCTTTACCACACCGCTGCAGAGCTTCTCAACTCATTCTTGTGCTAAAACAGATGTGGTTGTTCTGAACTGAAAATTGCTCCTGTCGTCTGGATTGTTTCTGATGCTGTTAAGTGAAGTACCCTTGAGGATGTGTGTTGGTTGGTAATTGACAGAATGCTTTGACTGATATTTTAGTGACTTGAGATAAAACTTCCCTTGTCTTTGAGTCAATACTTGGATTTCCAAGTTAAGGCCCCTTAAAGCTTAGAGTTTGTAAAGCAGAACTTTCCTTGTCCTGGAGTTGTTCTGTGGATAAATAGAGAACTGGGAGTTTGAATCCAATCTGCAACCCTGAAGACAGATAAGAGTATATTGTTGGCATTATATTTGACGTTTCTGATTGCTACTAGATTGACCTTTTTATCTCCTTTCTTTTTTTCAGGCTGGAGCTCTTGATTTATTGAAGGAGCTTAAGAATATTCCCATGACCCTTGAGTTGTTACAGGTATGATTTTCTTATTGCTGTTATGTTTCAAATACTCCATAGTGATGAAGGTGGAGCCAGCAAATTTGAAAGAGGGTTGCGCTATTAAAGTAGATTTCTAGGTAGAAAGTCCTTGGAAGTATCAGTTTTGTTACATAGTAAAGTAGTCTGAATTCACCATAATTTAGGACACTTAAGTGTTTTCTTCCACTAGGAAGCTCTTAAAACTTATCCTTCTGTATAAGTTCAAAGTAGTGAATTTTGTCATGGAAAAGGGGAAGAGCTGCTTATGAGTTTACCTTCCACCGAATCTTACGTTCTTGCTCTAACACATATGTGATGTGTTTCCTTCCTCCTGAAGGAGAATGCACCTGATTATAGCTCATACCATCTTTTCTTATGTAGTTAGTTCTGGTTTTGGATTGTAAGTGAGGAGAAACATAGTTCATACCTTCAGGCAAGTCGTATTTGACACTCTACCCCCCAACTCTGAGTACTGTATTTCTTAAGGTAATTATACTCCTCCTTCTCTTTTATTCTCCTGGGCTGAAGTGATGGTGTGGTACAATCTCTCCCTGTTGCATGCATGTTCTCGCTAATGTTGCTTATATCTGCATCTCTAGCACAGTATTTAATATACTACTTATAAATTCTTTCAAAAAATACACTGGTTAAACTTTATTTGCCTGTCAAGTTTCAGAGTTTGTCACATAATTCATCAATTAACAGCTTTTGTTCCAAAGTAACAAGATATTCCCTATCTGTGACAATTTTCAAATGATAGAGGTAAATCTAAGACTTAATTTGCTGTGGTAGCCTCTTTTAAATTGGAGGAGACTGAAAAATAACTTTTTTCTAGGTGACAGTTAATGGTCAGAGGTACAGAATTAGCCATAAAGTTTAAATCTTAAAAGTATCAGTAGCAAGGACATTCTTGATTCATGCATCCTTAGTAATAACTTAGTAGGTTATTGAAAGTTCTGTTTGTGACAGAAAATAGGAATTTTAAAGTGCATGAATGAGCATGGCTGATAGAACTGAGACCATCTTCCTTGTGTTCAACCTCCTTCCTTAAAAAAAAAACAAACTCAGAACTCCGCAGAAAAAATGCCCCGCACAGAACAAGAACAAAACCCAGAAAAATCTTCTGTTAACCTTGTTCTTTGAAGTTTCTTTGTCCTGGTCTTAATGCAAAGTATTTGTGTAATAATGGGGCTTTTTGCCTTTGAAATGAAAAATCTCTGTGCTAGTGCTCTGACAATTCTGTCAATGCTTCTGTGCAAACCTGTTCTTCTTAGTGTGAAGAAGATTGAAGGAGAAGCTTTACATAGAACACCAGAACAATTTTATCTGAGAACCATGAGGATCTGAAGAATATACACATATATAACTTATTCTTTTATTAGTTATAATAAAAACATTAGTAAAATTATCAACAGAGGAGGACTCTTAATCTTGCAAGACAAACTAAACTGTCTGCCTTTTAGAGTACTTGTGTGACCCTGACTTAATTTATATAGGGCTGCATATTAGTATTGTCCAATTTTCTATCCTACTTGAAAGAAACTTATTTATTCCCCTCCATATTACAGGTACCTGTTTTTAGTGTGAAATAATATCTGCAGTAAAAGACTGGTTTTAATCTGTGTTAGAGCAGCACCATACAAGTTTGTAAAGAAGATATCTCCATGTTACAGTAGGTCTAAAGGGATAAAGTATTTTAGCATAGTGTGTTGACTGTGCTAGGACTTAGCTAGGAAGTTATTCTTAAACATCTACTGCTGTATTCAAAACAGTTCCACTGCATAAGATTGCATTTAGCAACATGTTTAGACTCAAATTGACGTTATCTTTCTTGAGAGTTCTATAAATATGTAATGTCTGATGTAAACTTTCTACATTGGCCTCCCAAATTTGCTTAAGCAGTGGAGGACATGGAGCAAGAGTTGAAATACAAAGTAATGCAAAGTAATACCCATTGCTCTGGTAGTGGATCATTAGTGTGCTCGTGTCAGGAAGGGTGATGATCATGAGAAAGTGGGAGCACTTACTGCACTCTGTGTAGATTGAAGTATCTATTGATGTGTGTGAATTGATGAAATGCAGGACACAAGTGAAAAGCATACTTCCACACCCAGTTTTAAGCAGTTTTGAAAGCTGGCTACATTGAGAAAAGCACTGCTAGCAGATGTGATAGTTTTGTTATTCCTTTGTAATAAGAGAAGCAATGATTTTTCATGTAACATGACTGCTGCTTCAGTCTGAATTGGTGAGTCCTCTGAACAGTATACAAGTATGTGGAAGATGCATATCAGTAGTCTGGACTTGTGCTCATGTCTTGTGTCTTTCTTGCTAGATTTCTTTTCACAGAAAGCTGAAGTGATTATAGACAATAATACAACTGTGTGATATCTAACAAGTTTTATGTAAGCAAGCTGATCCTTGCTCAGCTAGGCAGGGAGCCAGTAGCCTTTCCTCACACGTGATTTATCCAGCAGTCTGAATTGCAAAGCTGTTTAGCAGCCACACAGTATTAAAGGCATCGTGTCTCTCGTGCTAATTGTGGCCAGTGTGCAGCTAAACAGCGAGTGAGACAGACAGGCTTTATTTTAACAAACAGGTTTAACTGGAAATTACACACACGTATGCAGAACTAGACTGTGATGTACAGTCCTTGTCAACGGCTTCGTGCCAGTTCACTGGCAAGCTGGGAGACCTGGGAACCTGGAGGTGGCTGTTCTTCAGCATTTGATTTGGCTCTGCTTTGTCTGAGAGCTCACCAATTCTCTGTCCTCACCAATTCTCTATCCTCATACTCTCACGGTTTAAAGTTGGTAACACCTCTGCTTGCTTCAGTGGTTGCTTTTCTTCCCCTGCTATGTTCCTCATTTGTTCTGGTTTAGAAAAGACTTGCTGCCATCATATGCTTTGGTTTGGCTTCAGTTGTAGGTTACTTCTGCTCACTGTTGCTCATATCCACTGAAGGCTGCTTGGCCTACAGCTCGAATGCTTCAGGGGTGAAAACATCTTTGCCCATCTTATGCCATATTTGCCTGTCTTTAATCTGAAAGCAGATGAAAAGTACTCTAGAATTTGCAGTGGGGCAGAATGAAAATACTGGAGTTTTTCACTTTAAAATCACTTCAAAATCACTTCATTTTTAAAGTTTTTCACTTTAAAAATGGCCCTCACAAGAACAACTCCATAGACAAAAAGGCTGAGGAAATTTCAAATGCTGTCTGCTGGTTTGTCATTAAAACACAGCCATTTTGAGAATATAAAACTGATCTTTTGCAATTACCTGTGTTAGCGTGCAAATAAATTAGCAGATCATTCCTTCCCCTCTCTTCAGGCAGGCCAGATCAAGTGCTGCAGAAAAGCAAACAAATGAGCTGTTTTTATGTGCTGCCTTAAGAAAGCTGGCAGTTTAAATGGTTACCATAATCTATCTCTCTTGTGTGATCAAAATAATAAATTAATTTATCCAGTTAGTTTTGAGTTTTACTTGAGTTTTTGGGTTTTACTTACCTAAGTAAGTCTGTAAGACTTACAGACTTACTGTAAGTAAGTGTTTTCTCTTTGCTGATGAGCGTAGGCTGTGGTTATGCCCAGATATCTATCAATGGAGGGTTGGGGTTTTTTTGTGGATGCATTTTTCTCATTCAAATATGATACTTTATGGATTTTCAAGGACATGTTATTCTTTATTGTCTGAACATAATGTTGAGATTCAGTTTCAAAATTTCAAGAGAATTGACCAGTACTGTTAGTCTGAGTGAGCAGAGTCAGTCCATCTTGAAACACTTTGGTTACAGGTGAGTAACCATCTGTTTTCTTTAATCCAAACTGCATGTTTAGAGCTGATGCTCAAACCTGAGGTTATTTGATGTGTTTTCTTGGCTGAAATAGCTACTGACTATTTCAGTATGTTTCCAATCATTTAGCACATTCATGGTGCCTCAAAAAGTGTTGTGTGGGTTGTAAGAAGTAATTTACAGGAACAAATCATTTCCATTTTTAGCGAGCCACAAAGATTTAAATTTTCCTTTAAAGGAGAAGGAAATTCATGATGAACTATTGCAAAAGTAAGTAGAATAATTTATATTTAGTGAGTTCTGTCAATGGTAATGCAACAAAACTGATCATCTTAAGAACGATTAATTTAGTCATTGGTCAAAATATGAAATGGTAATAAAATCCTCGTTTGTATTGTTAAATACTTTTCTCCTCTTCTGAAGCTAAAAGTGTGGAAATTTTCTACTTGTTACATGAACATGTCAGTCATAACTCTTCTAAAATGTTGCTGTTGAGCTTAATTTATGTCTTAAAAGGCGTGGATTGTAAATTACTCCTCTGTTCTCTCTATAGGTGGCAGTAGTGGCAAAGGCTTAAAGCTGTCTTGGCCTTTTCAGAGAGAGAGAGGCTGGGTCATTCTTTAACAGAGAGTTCTGTTACTATCTAAAGGCAGAACTTTTTGTGCTAAAGGTTTTAAAGAATCTCAGTATTGCCAAAATTTTTAGGAAACTAAACTGTGCTCACTTCCAGCTGGTATTACAACTTCTTCCACAGCCACTACTAAATGGGAATTCTAAGACTATGATGCTAGTGAAGCAGTTAGCAAGCTTCTGATCATAACAAAATAAAAATACAGTCCTTTACCCTCCTGCCAACCCCCTCCCTCGACTCCTGTGATGGAGACAAATGGTAATACTGTTGTGTTTCTTTTTGCAATGTCTGTTGCAAATAAGTCTGTTAAAATAAGTTATATAAAGGCTTGTAGCATTTCATCCTGTTAATCTTAAAATAAAAAAATCACAAAAGCAAAGAAGAAAAGATACTTTTAAAAAAACGTGCTCAAGTACAGCTTTATATATGTTTACTTGTTAAATGATCTTCATGTCACTTTCTGTGGTGTATATTTCTATTTATTTTGCAGTCTACCAGAATTGGAATGTCAGTGAATGCAATACGCAAGCAAAGCACAGATGAAGAGGTTACATCTTTAGCAAAATCTCTTATCAAGTCTTGGAAGAAACTGTTAGGTATGGTGAAACAAACTTCCCTGCTCCTGCATGTTTTGACTGTATGTAGTCTTGATGCACATCTTTGACACTGCCTTGCTAGAGATATATTTGTGCTCCTGTCTAAGTGCTGAAACTTTCTGTGCTGATGTAACTGGTTTTTACTGTTTGACTGTCACCAGTGCATTACGGTGAGAGTGTATTCAGAGAAGCAGTTAATATATTTTATTGAGGCTGGCAAGCAGTAGGAAATCAGCTTCTCTGATGTGATTCATATCTGAAGTCTTGTTGCCTGCAGTTGAGCTGGAGTGACTGTGCTGCTGCACTAGGCGCTAACAAACCTGTTCTTTACTATTTCCTGTGTCAAATATAACGAGTACTCTGAAGAACTAGTGCAAAATCTCATAGGAGAGTGTGGAGGCTTTGAAGTTTGGTTATGAAGTGATTTGTGATGAGAAAAAGAACAACATAAAAATGATGTTAAAAATGTGTTAGAACTTACAGGTAGTGAGAAATAGGTCTGCATTTTTTAAAAACCATAATTTTAAACAGCTTACTAATTAGAGAGTTAATACTTTTTGTTTAATTTCCCTTAAAACAATTAATGCAGTTAACGAAACCCTTCTGTTAGATTTTATTCAAGGGTACTACTTGGTAGTACTTAATGTATTTGAAAACATGCAAATCTCAAACTCTATCCAGATATTTTTGTTCATATACTGTGCTGCACTCTATTTTGTTTCTTTGTATCTAAGTCTAGGTAAAACAAGATTTAGGAAACTTAAAATTTTTAAATAGAAAATAACTTATGTTACGATTTAAATATTTACCATTCTGTCTTGAAGAATATGCCAAATACCAGGACTTGTTAGTGTCCCCTGCCATTTGAACTCAGCCTCGTTTTTATCAATTATGAAGTGTTTTATCAGGTACTTTATTCCTGATGATATGGGTCATTCCTGAATGAATGACCCATTCCTGAATGACCCATATTGTAAATTATGTAGAAAATACTCTGCCTGTAAAAATGGACAATTTGTCACAACTTTCAACTTTTATATTCTAGTAAGGAGCAACAGCCTCTACAGCAAACTTTTTTCAGCCTACCTTAAAAAAAGTTAGATAATACTAATTACGTTAGTTTTAGTATTTAAATTTAGGTAATACTAGACATACAGATAAAATATCTTTAAAATCATAATGACTTTTATTATAAAATGCATGCTTTATAGGATCTGATCAGATTTAACTGGTAAATAGTGAAAATAATATACTTTTTATTTTTAAATTTCCATTTAAAACTTGAAGTCCAACTTTATTATATCAGTGCATAAAAGTGATAAGATATATAAGTGGAGAAATGGACTTGCATATTAACTTGAGTTACTCTAAAAACTTCTAAAAGTAGCAGCTAGATTGAGTGATCTAGCTCTCAAGTTATTAATCGAAGTTTAAAAACAACCCAAATCCCTATCAATGTTTTGTAGTTTTTACTTTTTTTTTTTCCTCTGGAGTTCAAAGTTTTGATACTGCAGCTTAGTTTAGGGAACAAAGTAGAGGAGATATTCTCTTTTCCAACAGAATACTCAGCTTTTGAGAGTGTGCTCGGATGCTGCTCTTTTTGGGGAGTAGGGGACTTTACCTGGTTATTGCTGTCCTTCGACCAAAGAATTTGCTGCTTATTTGTTGAGACAGTAAAAATAGTAGTCTCATTTTTTTAACACTTGAGTATCTTCAGTCAGTCAAATTTGTCTTAATATATTGTTAGTTAAAGCTGACTGATGTTTAAAGTGTTCAAATGCTCTGAAACATGGGGAGTGTTACTCCTGCCTGAGGACCAGAGGGTGTTCATACTCCGGAGCAAGAATGTGGTGTCTGATGGTCACGACAGGTCAATCTGGGTTCAGGCTGCTGCTGAAAGGGGTGGTCTGGCTTCCTTTCTGCACAGGTGCCTCCTGTGCTACAACTAGTGCTCAAGTGCCTGTCCAGGAGACCACGGCTGGTAACTGACCAGTTGGAAACTAATTGGTTTGTTTAATATTTCAGGCTTAAATTTCAACTACCTTTTTTTTTTTTTTTTTGGTCCAGCCTGTTTGCAGTTACTGTTTCCTGCACAGGAATTGCATCAGTAACTGGGGCAAGGGGGACTTTTCCCTTTTATAACTGGCTAGATTCAGGTTGTTTTAACACAGCTGGGAGACTCTATGCAAGAGCTGAAGTCAGACGTGTGAGGAACTGGAAAGCAAATAACAAATATTTGGCATTAATCAGAACTGAATAGGTCTTGAGGCAGTGGGTCTGACCTTTGTTCATGCACTAATTTTTGCTACAGGACAGATATTGTTGTGTGTACGTTATCATGCCAGGTCTAGTTTAGTCATGGTAGTGTGCTTATTACATAAAACCAAATTATTCCTGAAAATACAGCATTCAAAACTTAAATAGCTAAATTCTCCTTGGTTGTAACATAGACCTGTAATAAAGCATAGTAGGACAAATGTTTCACTGTTGTATCACTGCTCAGTTATTCATTAGAACTTAAACTCTCATAACTGTGAAAGGTGGGCTATAAGTATGGGTGGGAATCTTACGAAGTACTCTTATTCTGTTTTATCATTAGTTTTGACTTTCTCGGAAGAATACGAAATACCGTATGTTGAGCTGCTTGAGAAATCAGTTTCGATTATGCTGTTTATAGTGCATGTAAAATGGTGTGGATCAAAGATGGCAACAGAAGCGGACAGCTGTTAATCGTACCGAGCATTGTACTCAGAGGTCTGAAGTCTTTGTGAGTTATTTTTATAAATGACATTTTGAATTTAGGCAAGAATTGTTTACTGTTCTGGCTGCATGTACTGTTTCAGTTCAGTGCTATCAGAATTCAGTTTTTAAGAGTGCATGGGAAACATGAGAGGAAATCAAAGTGAGTTGTGAATCACCAGATCTTTATGACTTGACTAGAGCCTTGACAGGTTAGCAGTGGTTGTTCAGGGGGGTTGGGAGCTGCGCAGCACAGGGTTGGCGAGCATTGTCTGAAGTGACTCACTGGCTGAGCCACAGTGCAAGGGTGCTCTCAGATATTGTCCTAAGAACGTTAAACCACGCGGCCAGGGTGGTCACAATTTGCATAAGGAACCAAATTCGACTCTCAGAATAAGATACTGTTCAGTTAGAACACGGGATTTGCAAATACTGATTGTTATGCCAAGTAGCTGAGTTTACAGAGTATGCCACGCAGAAAATGAATCCATGCATGCTCATTTAGGTTGTGAGAAGTGTTTCTTTATATTAAAAAAGCAACAAAAATTCCTTAAGGAATTTAACCTCCATCACTTGGTGAACTGTAAGAGTATACAGTGAAAAAGAATGCCCAGACCTGTAAGTAAACTCACCTGCAGGAACTTTGTGTACCGAATAAAAATGTAGAATCATTGGACAATAATCTTAACATTAAGTGATCATCTGTTATCAGTATTGAAAACTAAAGGTGAGGCCACAAACATTTTGAAATGCCTATTTCAAAGAAGGACATGCCTGACTAATTTTATTTTAAAAGAATGTTTAAGTGTTAATAACACCAGCCAGGCTTCACAGAAGTGTTTTACTCAGATTACTTTGTTCATAATATCCTTTGTTATTTTGCACCTGGGTTTGATTCTACTCGAGCAAGCAGGTGCAGTCTAGGACTATCTTACAGGTTAATGCTGTCTTTAGGTGAAGTTGTTCAAGGACATCTAGAAACCTACTGGCTTTGATAAAAAAAAGTTACTGACAAAACAAGATTTTAAATTAGAGTCTAATAGTGTTTAAGACTATTGTTTACTATTGATAAGAGGAGTACATGTTTTTATAAGACATCAAGTTGAATCAAGTGCAAAAATAATTTCAGTAGTTTCATTTTCATATCAAGTGTGAGATGTGGAAATCAACTCCTGTCAAATATATATTTGGAACTGTTCCATGTACTGTTAGTAGATCTGTTATTTTTTAGGATTATCAGTGGTGAGATAATAACACATGATGCAAATTACATTGTGCTATATAAGTGAAAAACTTATATAGTGCAGAAGTCCATATGTCATCCTCCTCTGTAACTGATAATAAAAAAAAATCTTTAAAAATAGCAAACAAGTAATGATTTTGTTCTTTATTCATAGTTCTTAGTTATTCTTCCCCACAAAACTACAACTAGGAAGAAAGTTTACTGATCTTACCTTTATGTCTTACTATATCTTGTAGAGGAATTGCTGACCAGTATAGCTGCTTGTGCATCTCAAGATTATTTTGGTCAGAGTCTGGAAAATGGAGCCTAAATAATTATTAAATATGAGGGTCATTGTTAAATTAATTATGTCATCTGATACATGTTCTCATGTCTCTTTCCTTTAACCTACTTAATTTGATTATTCAGAAAACTTTCTGAGTTCTGGTGGTGATTCCTGAATCAGTAACATACAGTATCTCACTAGATTAAATTCTCACGTGCTTTCAGAGAATAAATAGCCACCTTTCATTAAGGAAAAATTTCTGGAAAAATTGTTACTTTAAAATTTTTCTTAATTTAAAGTTAGATTTAGGAATAAATAACATTACATCTTTATATTTTCTAATTTTTTTCTTGTTACTAGCAAGTGTCTAGTGTTGGCTTGTAAAATAGCTAGAAAAATCTAGGATGAAGCTGTTAACCACTTCTAACATTCAGTTTAATTATGTTACCTGGCTGTATAATATTATATTAAAATTTCTGTTTTGGTAACAAAATCCACTATCATGTCATGTTTGACCCTGGAGAGATTATTTCACCAGAGAAACTAGGAGTATCTTTCAAAGTAGTTACAGGTACAAGATAGAAACTGCATTGCAGTCATCAGACTTTGATAGTCTTATTCTGATAGCTAATAGGAAATTCATATTATTACTGTGCTCTTTGTATTTTAAAGAATTGTTAATATAAATTAGCTTCTCTTACAAAAAACAAAGCTTTAAGATTTTTTTATGGCTTGCTAAAACTGTGAAGTTACAGTTTTCAATCCTAAAATCGGTGACAATTTCAGTTTTTTGTCTGAAAAAAATTATTTCAAAGTTTGAATAGGTATAGAGTTGAGAAAAGGAACTGTGCCTCTTTAAAGCAGCTTGTAATTTATAAATATTTATAAATATTTAGGATATTCTATGGACTTCCTGAGGTGAATCATGTATTGGAATTTTTAAGGATGTTTCACAGAAGGGCCATTTTTTTCCATGTTACTTTGTTAGAATTTCTGTGTTTTGTAATTCCCGTTAGCTGTCATTCTTCCTTTCCATTAGAGTCTGGCCACTGAATGTAAAATAAGTTAATTAGTAGGGACTTTTAATTTGTTAAGGGCATTTCTTTCCTTTCCCCAGAGGATAGCTGAAATGCTGTCTAGTAGGCTCTTAATTGCATTCTGTTCTTTTGTCGATACAGTATCTCAATAAAATAAGATATTCTTATTAATGTGTGAGTTTAAGAATAAATCCAGCATGACAGAGCATCTCCTGTCCTTGGTGCTTTCCAATTTATGATTCATATGATTCATTAGGATAACAATATTATCCTAAACAGTTAGGATAATATTGTTAACTTTATTTTCAGATTTCTTAAACTGGATTTAACAAAAATATCTGTTAACTCTAAGTGATTAAATGAATTACAGTTTTGGAGACATACTTACTGAAGATGGTCCAGTTGTCTCAGCTGCTGAAGAAGCTTGGCCTTGGTTTAAGACATGCTTGCACAGCCTGATCTGCAGGTGTAGGAGGAGCTGTGCTTTTACCTCTTGCATTATCTTGGTGCCTCATACACACCCTGCCCTCCGTTGGGGCAGGTGTTGGTATTGGCAGGTGTTCTCAGGGGCCTACCTTGTTTGATGAAATGGTGCTGGGTTAAATGGAAGTGTTTGATAGATGAAAACGGGACGCCAGCTATACCACAGTGGTGCGTATGATGCAAAAGAAGCAGGACATACATAGGTCAGCTCTGAATTTGACTACTTGTGAGCCAGAAAAAAATATGGAGGTGAACGGGCTGAAGCAGAGGTACCTATTTGATCTATTCGTTTGTCTTAAAACCTCTGACAAAGATGATCATGTGCTTTAAAGGTTGTGAAGGTAAATGAGATTGTATGTGTATTTAGAAGATTTTAAAAATCATATATCACGTAAGCATTTGTTGCAATAGAGAGCAGTCATGTGAGTATGCATGTTAAAGATGGGACTTGTTTTCTTCTAGTATTGTGCACTTCAACTGTCATAGCGAAGTCCTGGTGTGATCCATGTTTATGGCTTCATTTGCTTTCTTAGTGAAATTATTTTTTTATAAGTATTAGTTAATAAATTGATACCTTTATTAGGAATTTTTTTAATAACATCTTTAGCTTGTTAAAGACAATCAATCCAAGTGCGTCATCTACTGTGTTTAATTTTCCTTTTTTCCTTAAATGGAGAAATTTATCAAGGATTGAATTCAGTGTTACAAACAGTGGGTGAGCTCTTGAAGGCTGGGGAAATATTCTGAAGAAGGAGCTTTGTGTGTTTTGCTGGTTCCCATACTATGTTGTAAAAACCATCTCTTTTTAGGTGCAGCTGGAGATGGGATAGTAAATGGGTGCCTCATCTCTGATCTCCTTTTATGATGATGATTCTTTAGCAAAGTGATATTTGATTGGGTAAATTCCCTAACTCAAAAAGTTAAGGAAAGTATCGAAATCATGTTCAGTTTAGTGTTCCTATTTAAAAACCAGTACAGAAATGTTCTACGCTAGGAAAATGAAAAAAAAAGCTCAGTTGTTTGAATGAGAGACTTGAATTTGTGTGTTGTGTTATCACCAAGTTCTTCTGAGAAATGTGGGAATGGGGTTCTTCTGGAAATAAGGATACTTTTAGATGCTTAAACGAGAATTTGCATGCCTAGTTCAGGACATCTTTATGGGCAAGACTGAGCCTTAACAGATTTCCTTCCTTTTCTTGATCTGTTTTTAATTCTTTTTAAAGTTTGTAATATATGCTTATTGCAATAACACAGTCTATGAATTTAGAAGTGTAATTCTGGCTCTATAAGGGCTTGGAAAGAAGACTTCACAAAATCTGTCAGTGAGTGCTGCCAATCTCACTAGGCTTTCTCTGTAGGCAGTGGAGAACCAGCCTTTATAGAGAGCAAATCAAAGCAGGAGCTCAATTTAGCCACTCTGAAATCTTCTTTACAATAAAAGGGTGTTTGTGTTCTTGCTATGCTAGACTTAAATGTTGTGATTACCCTTCACAAAGACTTATGTCTTTATTCTTTATAAAATCATGGTGAAACACAGCCTGTATGGGAAAGCCAAATTCAAATATATTTAAATACTGAGGCAAATAATTTAAGAACTATCACAGAAAATACTGTCTGTGTGTCTGGAAAACTCCTTCAAAAATAGGAAAATGATCTTTATATTTGGCAACCCTGCTAGCTTTCGCAATATAGTTAAAAAGAATGGCAAGTATTTACTCCAGAGACTTGATGCAATAACTAAGAAGTTACTGTCTACCTACTGCAGCAGTGTTGGCAAAAATAAATCATAGAAGACTAAGTTTTCATCATGTCTTCACTGCCAGTTTAAGCAGATGCCGGACTTGACTCGAAGAATCTGAAGTGTTGTCATATTTTCAGTTTGCGGGGTTGGGAGGGTGTTGGAGAGTGGAAGGCTGTACTGTGAGAGAGGGTCGAAGCAGAGAGTGGGAGCTCATAGCATTTCCAGCTGGTTCAGGAGAAATTGTGAAAGGTATTTTACCACTGCTTAAAATTGGTTACTGTTTCTGGGTAGAAGAGAGTTTCTTGTGTTTTGTATTTCCAGATGGACCTTCAACTGATAAAGAATCTGAAGAAAAGAAAAAGGAGCCTGCATCTTCCTCTCAAAACAGCCCTGAAGCCAGAGAAGAAAGGTGCTTAATTCTTTGTGATTGTTCAAATAATCTCACTAAGTATAAATTAGTGTTAAAGTATTTGGTCCAAATTTGTCGTATTAGAGACAGCTACCATGTTCTTTTCTGAAAGACATTAAGTTTTCTACAAAAAAGGGTGTGTTGGTAGAGGAATAAATTGTGCTGCTGTTGACATGAAAAAAAAAAAGAAAACTGTAAGTCAAGATATGGCCAAATGAGTTTACTGTTTATTCCATCTGTCAAATGCTCCGTCCTCTCAGTACTAGCACTGAGCTTTGAGATCTGTAAAACAACTTTCAGTCTCAGCTTTGTGGTGGTTGCATGTGCTGGACGTTTAGAATACTTACTTTGTCTGTTAGCTTTTATGTTTAATAAACAATCTGCACTTCTTTTGGTAAACACAAAATATGTTATCATAAAAAGGAGACCATATTAATGTCACTGCAGGAGAGCTAAAGAACATTTACAAAAGAGTATTTGCAAGCTCGTGTCTTCTATACACTTCAGGTTTTAGTGAATCTGTTTTCAGCAGCCATTTTCAGATTGAAATTTAGCTTCTAACTATATGTCCAGATGGAAGCTGAAAACTTAGTTTACAGTTTGCAAAACTACATCAGTTGGGGAGGAAAGGGGTTGTGACCATGGTACCCCTTCAATACAGTAAACAGATTGAGCGCAATGCATTTGCTGCGGAGTGGATGTTGGTGCGATGTATCTTCACTGTTTTTTAAAGTTCCGTGGGAGGAAAAAAAAAGATTTCATGTTAATGTAAAGAACTGAGAATTAAAGCTTGTTTGCCACATAATGGAATGAAATACCTGCTGTGACTATTGTGTGGAATACCCTGGTGAATAGTCTAAAGACACTTTATAGATTATATTGACTCCAGAGCCATAAATAGCTTTTAAAAGGTGGCCTGTGTTCTTATTTTGGAATACCATCAAATGGATATAACAAAAGACCTGTGTTTTGCCCAGAAACAAAGTCATTTGAGGAAGGGAAAAAACATTAAAATAGTTTTCTTTTTGCCTTTTTTTAGCAGTTCAAGTAGCAATTCCAGCAGCAGGAAGGAGGAGGGTAGTGCTCCTTCAAATTCTTTCATCCCTTCTTTTCCCCGAGCTCCAAGCACTTCAGACTCTGTACGAGTGAAATGTAGAGAAATGCTCTCTGCAGCTCTCAGAACAGGAGGTGAGCTTTGTAGAATATGTTTTCAGGTTTATCTGTTTTCTTCTATTTCTGTCTTTCCCACTCTAATTTTCTCCTCCCCCGTAGGGTAGAATAAACCCTTTTTGTATCTGTTCGTTTGTGTATATCTGTAGGCCAGTTCTACCAGTTGCAAGTAGTGAGTAACCTTGGCAGCATGGAAATGTATCAAAATACATTTTTGTTGCTGGTAACATGGGACATTTTGTGGCTCAGTTCATCTGATAACTTTCCGACAGGGCAACTTCTTTTCAGGAAGGTTTTTGCCTCCTTTAATGCCTTATTTAAATATTTTTGCAGAAGCCACTATTTTTTTTGTAACTCAGTCTTTTTGACTGAGAGAGTGCCACTGTATACATGACTGCCTTTCTTAAACTAGACGTCCTAGGGACCTTCAGATTTTGGTTTTTGAACGCTGCCTTTCTGTATTAATTTATTCTTGATGTTTCATTGAGATACTTGGAATAAGAGAGTCTTGTATTGCTCTTCATGCCTTTTGGGCATCTGTAAATTCCTTGACTGTTTTGGTTTGAGTTTTTTTTTCACCTCTCATGTACACTTGAGTGTCTTTACACTGACAAATTGAACGATATACTAGATAAGGAACAAACTGAAAGCTGGACTTCTCAGAATTACCTAATTTTTTTCTAGTGGGTCATGCTCTTCTACCAAACTTATGACTCAGCTCCTGTTTCTCTCTTCTTTGGGTGTAACTTGACCCAGTGTAAATAGGCTTCTGAATCATCCATGTTTACCCCTTTCACTCTTTTATTCTTTCTTTTAATTTGTATGAATTCAGATACAGACAACAATGAAAGCTGATTAAATACCATGAATTTGTGGTCCTCTGGATATGTGGGTCATAGACTTCTAAAGCAATTTATGACCAGAAAGTTGCATGTAGCATCTTAGTATTTATAATTCTGTGTATTCTTAATTTTAGCTAGTTTTCCAAGAACCCTTTTTGATGTGTTGCTTTGTACAGCACATATAAACTGATGATCCATGGTCAAAAAATAAGGTTATTTTCTGGTTTTATGGCCTTCGGCATGAGATCTAAGGAGAAATGGTGTTTGAATTGCTCATTGAAGTACACCCATGTTGAAATGAGGGTAAAACACTGTATCTAATTTGCCCTTCAGCTATCATGGAAAGGCAGCTGTCTTTGTGAGTAAAGAGTTTTGGTCAGAAACAGTAAACAATTATCTTCAGAAATTGTAGTTCAAGTGTTGCATTGTCTTCAAGACTGCTGTCGTCCATCTCTTCTAATTTACATGTTTTATGACACATTTCTGTTTTGAACTTTAAAAAAAATCTAATAATACTGTTTCTGTTACTTAATTACTATGTTTCTAATAAAATCTTCCTCTTGCTTGCATGGAAAACATTTATTTGCTTATTCTTGTATTGTGTGGATTGAAACAATTGACTAAACACAATATAAAATGTTTCCTTTTTATAATAGTTTATTCTATGCACAGATATGCTGTGGAGATGGGTATTTGCCAAGCCTAATAGAATGTTTTAAATTTTTCTGTATAGCAGTTTTTTTTTGTTTCTACTTGTGTTTGTTACTGGATGTCAGAATTACTTCTGTTGTGCTTCATTTCACTTGTTCTTCCAATTAGTAAGTTTTGAAAGGATAAGTATGCAGTAAATAAAACTTACCTACACAAAAGGAAGACTTACTGCAGGTGTCTCATGATTTGCTGAGCTTCAGAGTGCTGAATAGGCTCTCAGGGACAGAGAACACTGAGAATTTCAGTTTGCTAATATTTTAGTATTTGTTTTCCTCAGATGATTATATTGCTATTGGTGCTGATGAAGAAGAGCTGGGTTCTCAGATTGAAGAAGATATCCTTTGTTGTATATCTGTGTGCCCTAGAACAGGAATATTTTTTAAAAGCGCTGATAATTTTAAAATTAATTAACTTGATCTACATATTGAGTATTTGTAAATGTCATGTAAAAACAAAAATAGCAAACTGTGTTCAACACATCAGTACATAAATTTAGTGTTTAAAAAAAGAGTCCAACTGAAATGATTTGCCTTAAAACATGTAGCAATGCGTGTAGGTGAGTGTGTGTGGGGGGGTTTCAGCTCAGTATGTTTTCTTTGCAGCAGCAATCTTATGTCTTTCTGAAGCTTTCTTACATAAAATGCTGGGCTCTTCTATGTTATTTAAAAACCTTTTCTTGTTAACAGTCTTTATCTTTTTCTAATGTCTTTATTTAATTTTCTACAAGATTATTTCTAAATGAATTTTGAGTTTTTGAAAGGGAGGTTCTGATAGCAATGTTTGAATAGTTCTAGATCAGAGGTCTGGCCTTCTTTTTTTCTTTAAAAAAAATGTCACTGATCTGTCAATGTTTGAATATTTGGTTTGGAAATTAATTAATTCTTAGTATGAGGTCCAAGAACCTGACCATAAGCTTATGGGTGACTTTTCACAATTCCAGTTGAGAGCCTACTACCCAAAAATTCATGGTTCATGTGTTTAACTGTGATTAGTCTTCAGAAGGACATGGAGTCTGCTGTGTTGATCAGGAAAGTGACTGTTGGTTGGGGACTTGATCAAAAGCGAAGAAGTACATTGCTTTAGAAAAGTTGCCCCCCAAAATGAATCTTTTATAGTGCTCTGTTTTACTTGTTAATGTTTTGCTCCTTAAATACAAAGCACCTATTTTTCAAGAATTAAAAAACACTGATATGAAATACAAAAATAGAGTACGAAGTAGAATAGCAAATCTCAAGGATGCAAAGAACCCTAATCTAAGGAAAAATGTATTATGTGGAAACATTCCTCCTGACAAGTTTGCCAAAATGACAGCAGAGGTAAGTAAAACATAGTCTTGAACTATTTCCCTATTGGACTAACATCCTGGCTTGTATTTACTAGCCATAAAAGTAATTTATGTAAGCTGCCCACACTTCTGAAAGACTGTGGCTTGTTTGTGGCTTGCACAGCCTAAATTACAGGGCTTTGTTGAGGCAGAGGACATGAAAGTGGTGTGTGTTATTGGATCCTAAATGTCTGACTTTGGCTGTAAGTCAGAAGGCAGGTAAGCTGTTGCTATCTCGAAACGTGGCATGTTTTTAAAAGGTTACGTGATATACTGGTAATAGTGTTTTAAGTTTAGGGAGATGTAAATATGACTGGCTAGTGACTCCAAGCTGCTTATCCATTCATGTTTCTGGATATTTATTAGTCTGTCTTGCCATTTGTTTTTCAAATGCTGACCTCTGCAGGTACACTCCTATGCAAGGTATTGCTTTGTGGATTTAAAGATCTGTCCCCTCTTCTGTTGTCATTTGTAGTATTTATTTAAAACTTATATGTATCTTGAATACTCCAAGTGACCTTGAAGGAAACTCTTGCTAATAAATAAAAAAAAACATAAATGACAGGGGAGAGGCTAGGAAAATTGCCCTTTAAATCAAATTAAATTTAAATTATTGAAAGAACATTTTGGACACTTGAATAAAATTTCCCATTCACATCATCACTGTCTTTGCAAATCAAAATAAATCTGGAAAGTCAAATGAAAAATTTGATTTTATTGGAGAGAAAAATGGAAGCACAGTTAACATCTTGTTTCAGTTTTGTAGTTCTGCTTCTATATGTTAGATTCTACCCCCCCAAATCAGGTACAAAGGAGATTGAAAGATATTAAATTTATGATCAACTAATGAAAATCATGATTATTCCAAAAGAAAATTTTTTTATGATGGTTTTTTTTTTGGTTGGTTGGGATTATTTTGCTGTAGCTTTACATAAAGGTTAGGGCAAACAGATTGGTAACAGAATGTATTAAAAAAAGGAAATTGTACCTTCAGTATGTGTTCTGGAGGGGTTTTTTTCCCCCACATGTTTTTGTATGGATGCACAAACATATATTTTGTGTTGTCCAGTGCCTATTCTTTGTTAAATTAATGTCTTGGATTAAAATGTTAAAGGCTAAAAAACCCTTTAGTGTTAAGATTACTTCTGAAGTGAAACAACATTAATAAAAAATTTGCATTCCACATCTGTGTGGGATGTGGAGTAAAACTGTATTGAAGAAAAATGAAACAAATAGTTTTCTAGATTACTAGATATTGTGGAGATCCTGCACACTAGAACTGTTTGAAAGGAAATAGAAAACTGGTGATTCGGAGCTCCTTGGTTAGTGTTTTGAAGCGAAGCGTGTATGATTTCTGGTTGCATATGGTAAATTATGGCTGTACTGTATTTTTCAGTACAAATATGCAAATAATCAAAATAGTGTAAATTTTTTCCTGTAATAGTCCTATGTAGGTCAATGAGATAATTATCCAAGGATCTAACCTAGGGAGAGGATCTTTTTTGCCCCTCTGGAGAACTTTAAAGTCCTCTCCCTTGTCTATCTTATATTAAATGCATTTGCATAGAAATGTTTCTAGATGTTTGACGTCGTAACTTTTACAGATTTTTTTTTCCCCATCTGCGCTTAAAAAAAAGAACATTTTTAACTTTTGTAGCTTCTGTGCTGTGAGATATCCCAACTGAAGTCTTGTAAATTTAAAAATGTGTAGAAATTCAGTGCCTTTCAGTAGAGCTGTTGCTCATGGATTCTAAATAAAAAATGGTATTGGCTCGCACAGTTGTAACTTGTTTTAAAGCAAAAACTCTCTAGCAAACTCTGTCTGCTTTTTGTCCTGAACAGGAAATGGCAAGTGATGAACTGAAAGAAATGCGCAAAAATCTGACCAAAGAAGCTATCAGAGAGCACCAGATGGCTAAAACAGGAGGTACCCAAACTGACCTGTTTACATGTGGCAAGTGCAAAAAGAAGAACTGTACATACACCCAGGTGCGTGGTTGTTCAGACTCTTCGTTTTCCTTTTTCAAAGCTTAAGTCCTATATAAAGATTGTCAGAGAAAAAAAATTGGAATTACAAAATGAACTTTTAACAAAATGCTGACAAATTACAAAATGTGAAGGTAGGTATGCACTTAGGTGTGCTTACATAAAGAGTGTGTGTTGTATTTATTTGCCAAAGATTTTGTGTAAACCCAAGCTGAGTATGTGTATAGGCTGGAGCTTCAGTTTCTTTGCAATGCTGAGTTTTTGCTAACTCTTTTTATCACATCTTATTAATATGTTTTTGTGTGGAGGAGAGATAATATACTGGTTTTAATGTGCGTAAACTTTTTTGTACTGAAGGACTAAACAGAAGAAAATTATATATATGTATATACACATGTATCTTTGTTGTACCATTCAACTAACCCTAGGCCCTGATTTACAGTCTTTCCTACAACTGCAAGAAGAAGGGCTTTAATTTGTTAAACGATGCTTCAGGGAATGTAATTTTCATCTTAGGATTAACTGCATTTATAATTTAATTTTGTGTATCAGATGCTTTAAGTAGAAAGCTATTTTTCAATCATGAGACTTTTAAGCCTTTACACTGGTAAATATATGTAAAGCTGTACTGAACATGTAGCCTTCTGTAGTGCAGAATCTTTTCCTAGAAATAAGTGCACGGTTTCAACGCCACAATTGGTATTTTAGTGCTACTAAATCTGTCAAAATCTAAGTTTATGGTGGCTTTATAGTTAGAAAAAAAACCAGTTTCAATTGTTGAGTAAAGTTCACTTGTATTTTGATCGAAATTTGCTTCCTTAATATTAAACTTTGATTTAAACACTTACATGAACACACACTAACAAAAATTGAAGATACTAATTTTCTTTTTCCACTCTGTCTCTTGCCTTTGCCAAAGGTTCAAACCCGCAGTGCTGATGAACCCATGACAACATTTGTTGTCTGTAATGAATGTGGAAACAGATGGAAGGTAAGACTGTTAGATTGCTCTGCATATTTGATAGCAGGCAGCCAGGCTCTGTGGTTAATTTTGGTTTACAGTAAATGAGACAAATGACTTTCTGTTGACTTTTAGTTATTTCTTAGCCCATTAATGATATTCCATGTTAATATTGCGAAATTCCTTTGAATTAAAAATGTATTTTTGACTGAAGTTGTGAGATCACACAAGTAAGGCAGTTGCAAAGGGGGAGAGAAGTCAGGATGTCGACCTAGTCCTTGCAACATTTGCCATACAAAGTAGTGACAAGTTAGTCAGTCACTGTGTTAGTTTTCTCTTTCTTCGCCCAAAGATGATCTAACTGGTTTTAATCTCCGCATTGATGAGTGGAATAGACCTTTTTAGACTTTTTGTTGTTATTGTTGTCTCCATTTTTTGCTACTCTGACAAGAAGAGGGAGGATAATAAAGAGAACTGACTGCTACTATATTCCGGTGTCATCATAAGTGTAGGGCAGTGATAACTTGATTTAATTTTTTTTAAGTTCAGGAAATGGGAATTTAAAAAGCTTCTGAGGAACACTGGTAGTCCAGTAAAGTGGAGAAACGTTGAAATGAAGGCCTGTAATATTTACAATTTAAGATGTGATAGCATGCAATGGGAAGCATGATACCCTCATTCTGTTATTTTTCTGTGTTAAGAATGCTGCAGCTGTGCAGAGCCATGGCACAGCATACTTTTAAGATTGCCACATAAAAAAACACTTTATGCATCTTGTTTTATATATCATATTACCGAATATTGTTCAAATCTGTATTCCAAGATATCCAAATAATATATAAAGCTTAGAAATTGTTTAATGCAGTACCTGGAAAAGTTCATTTGTCCTTAAAACCTTCTATAATGTGGCAGTTAGAGAAGTGTCCGTATACAGATGCCCGAGTGAAGGAACGGTTACGATCTAAGCAAATGCTGTAACTAGTAATTTCCATATCCTAAGTATGGTGTCGTATGTCTGTTTCTTCTTGCAAAGATGTAGAACTAAGCTGTATAAAGATCTCATAAAAAATTCTTTTCTTTTGACAGTTCTGTTAGAAGAAGAAATTGTCAAGACATCTGGACCAGTATGAAAAGAGGATTTTGTAATTAGCTTTAAAAACTAGGCTAAGCTTTTAGCTTCCTGCAAATAAGAGGGGTTTTTGGTTTCCTTTCTCTTTTTTTTTTTTCTTTAAAGCAGCATACATGCCTGAAGTTAGCCTTTGTTTTGACACAACCATCATTTCCTTAAATGCCTTCCTATAGCTGATAGTCAGTAGGGCCAGGTTGCTCAATTGTATGGTGAATTTTAAAATATTTTTTCATTTTTATAAGTAAGTTGACATTAAACTTTTACCAATTAAATATTTTGGTAATTGTCTTGGGTTTTTTTCTAACTATGTGAATAATGTACTGTATTTTTTGTGTTCTGAAATATACACACTCCTCCCATGTGTATTTTACCTTTCCACATTTGTTCAGTTGTAAGAATGGAATTTCTTTCTTGCTGCTGTGTTCACGAGCTTTGCGAAGAGAAAAGATATATCAGTTCCTCATTACATAAACTCCGTTGTTAGCTAAATCACAATTCAGTTAACTCTCTAGCTTGTGTGTACTGTTTCTGGACTAGGACTAAATTTGGGTCATAGGGTTTGAAAATTTATTAGTGGATATGATGACCTCTTTTGCAGTGGTTGGTTAAGCTTGTTTATATAACCAGCTTTGATCGGTGCAATATATTTTATTGCCCAAAGCATGTATTTTACATTCTTTCAGTAGGTTTTATTTCCAGGAATGCCTTAAAATAGTTAAATCTGGTTTGAGTATTCAGTCTTGCTTAATGTGCTCGACAACCAAATTGGGTTTAGACTTTGTAAATGAACAGAGGCGTTGTGTTGTGGGCTGCCCTAATAACACCAGCTAACCAATTCATTACATCATAAACTGGCTGGGGAGGTAATACTATATTCCCTTCATATAAATGATATTGATTTTGTTCTTGAACTGAATTTTGAATTATAGGGTATCTGATGTCAATCATAGACCTGCAGGTGGAAATAAATTATTGAAGTTACGGTCTTTTCCATATGTGGAATGGTATAAATACTGCTTTTTAGAGTTTGGTTTTCAACAGTGCACATGCTTAGAAGTATTTTCAAATGTGTTTTCAAGGAAAAACATGACAACATGACTTTAAGTACTAATTTTATATTACTTAATTTATAGAAGCCTGGGGCTTGAGGAGATCTATTCTGGCAACGTATTAAGTATTCATGGGGGGTTGGGAAGAGTATTTGCGGTTGCTGGAGAATAAATTCCATGACTGTAAAGGAAAAACAAGATTCTCTATGTTGAATGTTTTTTGTGTGACGGTGGCAGTTGTAAGGAATGAGTTGGAAATAGTATGGTGACACTTGAGCTTTGTCAGACAAGAACTGTTTGGCAAATACTTTATAGAGCAAGCTTTTCCAGTCAACTTGTGCAAGGAAGGAAGCGACTTTTCTGCTGAGGGGAAAAACGATTAAAATAGAAAAAGTTTTGTTATAAACCTTTTTCCAGCCAGAACATTGCTCAGCATTTAAAGTTTCTTGCATAGCTTTTTATATATAAACATTTTAGCTCAACTTATATTAATACCCATCAGAAAACATATTTTTCTACTAAGACCATGAGTTTGTTTTTAAGCCTATGTGTAGGTCCTTCAGCAGGATACTTCCTAAGAGTTACTTAAAGATTCACAATTGCCCTTTTTTTTTTTTTAAAGTTGTTAAAGACTACAAACTAATGACAGACATTTACTATCAGTTAGAGTGCTTTGTTTGGGGACCTTTCTAAAGGAACAAGTCCAAAAAATTGTGTTAAAAATGATTGTAAATTGGATGCCAAGTAGACCTGAATTTTCACAGCCATTCACAACAGAAATCCACAGGGCAGGCACAAGTTGGTTTGCATAACCTTCCTCACACTACGTGTCCTTTAATCTTTATGCCTGATTGTGACACTTACGAAAATTATCTTTTGAGAAAATACAATAATTGTCTTTCTGTACTCACCAAGTCATATCTGGACTTTATTAAAACAACTAGAACTGTGGTAGCGCTTTCTGTGATGTAGGTGTGTCCAAGTAGGAGTTGAAATAACATTACATGAAACCACATTTTAGTTTATGGCTGAGCAGCAGCCTTCACCCTTCCCTCTTCTGTCCCCAAGGTAAAAAGAACAGTTTCTTTTGCCCAGCAGAAGACGAATTCTAAGAACTAAATCCAACAATACATGTATTCTATTCATGCTTTATTTTGATTACCTAAATCCAAAATTAAAACTCTCTAAAAATGAGCTCTGTTCAGCAGTTTTCCCAGCTGTCTGAAGTTGCCCTCCTCTATCAGAGAGGGTGCAAAGTCTGAAGGATGTATAGGAGAAGGATGCAGAGATGGGATTAGGGCTGTCTCTTTTATCCAGCTGGCTGGCTTGTCTGCTGAGCTGCAGTTGTGCCATGAGTGACCCAGTACATTCAGGTATTTTATGCAGTGAAAACATACTGGCAGAACTGGTGATGAATCTCTCCCACCTGAGAATAGCAGGTTTGTTATTATCTTTATCGACACTTGATTTCTCTCAGATGAAACAGTTAACCTATAATTTAAGCTGGTTTTTACACTAATCTAGTAGAGAGAAAGAGGGGTCCACATTGCTTTTAAAGTGTGTGTGTGTGTGTGGTTCCAATCTTTCTTCTGTAAGCAAGGCTAGAGGATTCTGCTCAGAAAACACAACTTCTGTATCCCTCATTACAAGACACTTCCTCGTATATATGACATTTCCTTATATATTGTGTTATCTCGTTCAGGAGAAAGTATGGGTTTTAAAATACCTTGTACTGAATAGTTCTTTTTGACTACCACTAAGTAGAAGGTGAATATCTGCCCAGTGGTCTTGGCTTTTGTGAATCCCATGCTGCAGCCCTATTGCACTTTCCAGGCATTGCAAAGGAAGTACCTAGTTTTTATCCAGAGTGCAGGATTCCACTTTGTGGTCACATACGTGAATTTTAAATCGAAACTTGCAACCCATACTAGCCTGGGCAAAACTGAAAATCATAAACATGAAGTCTTTGTTCTGCAAAATGTGGTTATATTACCTTTCAAGCACGTGCCTTTGGAAATAGATCTTGAAATAATAGTCAGTCGTATAAACAACCTGAGGAGTTTCACCCCTTTAAGTACAATTTCTTACAGCTGTATATTAACTTCTGTTTCGATAGATCATCACTAATCTTGAATTGTTTTACTGTTTTAAAAGGTTTGGGATTAATTTAGTTACAACATTAGTATAGCAAATCTTCCATTAGTGTCATTGAAACAATACTCATACCTTTTATGGCAGAACACACATGCTCCTAAGTACTGCTTAGAGCAAAGTTGTTAAAAATTTACTTCACATTGTGAGAGTCTTTCTCATCACTTTCTTTTTTTTCAGATATGCTTTGTAATAAGAAACTGCATAAGTACATGATGCTTGTGTGATAAATTTTAATCTTAACTTTTATATAGTAAAGCCCTTCAGAGTACCTACATATATGGGTTTTTTTCCTTCGTTTATATTGTGCTAATGACTTTGGAATTTAAAGGTCACTGTAAAGCACAATATGTTGGCTGAAGAAGCCCATGCAATTTTAATAGTGCTTAGCAGGCTAGAGAAAAAGAGCAATCTTTAACAGTATGCATGTTCTGTGGGAGTTACTGCTTTATGATGTGCAGACATTGAAGGAAGAATGCCAGTGGACTGGAAAGTTGTTAGAGCTTAATGACATCCTGCAGTTAGATAAGTGCCAAGGCAAACCAAGCATGCTCATTTTCAAGATAGGATAAATTGATTTTGTGATAATTTCTTGATTAATTATAAATAATATGTCAATATGATTATTTTCTCCTGCTATTCATGTAACAGCTTGTCTATGGTAACTTCTCCTTTTCAGTGCACCTCGCTTTTGCCCTGAGAACTTCGTGCATCATGAGCAAGTATATAGGCATGAAATGTAGTTAAAAACCTGTCTTCTGTGGATGGGTTTTTTGTTTTTCTCTTCCCCCTCCTTCTCCCACCTCCATGACTTACTTCAATTAAATCCAGCATTAACCAGCTTCAAAATAGCAAGATATTTAGGGGGGAGTGGGTTGTTTGGGTTTTTAGGAAATACTCTCAGGATATCTAGGAATCTGCATTCTGCCATTGGTGTCAGGTGCAAGCTTAAGCCTAAAACACAGCATTAAAATTTGTTAAGATATTTCAGGGAAAACACATTGCAAATGTCAACATATTGTAATGCAGAAGTAAAATGAAAATTGTCTGGAGAATTTTAATTGCTTAGAAGTTGTGGCACATGAAAAGTAAGCTTAGAAATTACTACTTTCTTATTTTAATAATTTAATTTTAACCATAGAACTGCCCAAACCATTTTAGGTTTCTCTCTCCTCTGATTTCATTGCATTTTTTTTATTTCTTTTTCTTGCAGAATAATAGAATTTACTGTTTGATATGAAGTGAGTGTTTGGTCTGTCTTTCAGCTTTTAATGAAGTATCTTTGCAGGGAAGAGAAATAACTTAAAAGACATTAAATCCTCCATTTCATGAGATGACATGCTTTGAAGTTTTTGTCATCTAGACATATGATCTTTCCAACAAGCTTAATTTGACCTAGTTAAACTTTAATTTGTCAGCTTAAGAGTTTTAGAACACTCTTACCCACCCTGATTAAAAGAAGTACAGCATTGTCAGTTCAACTGTAAGCTCCCCATGAATGCTGCCTTATGAAGAGATCTAGTTTGTTTTATTGAAGTTACTACTTATCATGTAATACTTCATGTAAAATGAAATTTTATTGATAGTACTTTGGGTGTGTTTAATAGAAATTCAGCTGAGATAACCAGTGTTGATAGGTTAAGCAGTGGCAAACATTAACTGAATTGTGTCTTGAGTTGCTATATATGGAAGGATTTCCTCTTAGCTTAGTCATCCAGCAGTGTGCTACAGAGGGAAAAAACACTTTGATTTGCTCTCTCTAGGGTTTTTTTTGTTTACTTTTTTGTGCTGACATATTAAATAGTGTTATATTGTTGGAAGGAGATGATGAAAACTGGTCATGGATTAATAGACTGATTTGGGTGGTAATGGAACTTAACCCAGTACCAACCCCCTGCCATGGGCAGGGATACCTCCCACTAGACCAGGTTGCTCAGTGCCTCATCCAACCTAGCCTTGAACCGGTCCATAGTATTGTTAACTTACCATGTATTGGGTCTTCTCCTGTGCTGCTATGTAATGAAATATCATTAATTTGTTTAATAATGCAGATGCAGTAAGAGGAGAATATGTCTCCTGCCAGGGGTATTGAGGAAACAATTAAATTGATCTCTCAAGTTCTATTGTGTTATTCCCATTTCCTTTTTTTAGAGAAAGTCCCCATTTTGTACTTCCTGTAGTTCTGGAATTAGGCAAAGAATAGGTTTTGGAAAGGCTACAGTACACATCATTGAAATATGCCTGTCTGGTTCTCCTTTTCTAGGGGTATTTTTTTTTTCATTCTGTTTCCCATGTATAATTTTTTAACTATATGTGCCATTTGGTTCATTTAAATAAATAGGCAGGAAAAAATACAATTCAATGGAAATCCACTATAAACTCCAGAGTTTAATATAGTGGAATTGTAGTGAATCTTGTAGTTTAAAAGAAAGAAGATATTAGAATTACAGACGTACACATAGATTACGTGGATTCAACTTACTCTCTTCCTGGTATTTCCTGTGATTAATGGTTTAGAGATATGATGAGAAATCAAGTGTAATGCTTTGGGGATACTAGTAAATGAACATGGTTTATTACTGGATAGAGCTGGTGCTGTCAGATAGTCTGAAATAGTGCTGTGTCAGAACACAATAGTTCAAGCTTCCTGCTTTTATTAATTAAATTGTGTGTGTGTCTGTAATAGAAACCTTACAAGATCTGACAGGTGATGGGGGAGTTTAATATGTACAAAACCAAGATGGCTGATACTGCCATCCTCTTGGGAGTGAGTAGTGAAGGATTTTACATATACCTACTGAGGGAAAAGAAGAATATGTGACAATTCTTGTGCTTTATTTTGGAATTGGAATGCCCAGACACGTCTTCCTCTGAAGTAAATAATTTAACTTTATAAACATCAACAATAAGAACTTAATGCTTTCAGCAGATTTTAGTAGTAAAATAATAACTCTTCAGCAAAAGATTTTTTTTTTTTTATATAGGCAGCATTATTTCAACCAGCAACTTTCGTAAACTTGAGATTGCTGTGCTGATTTCCATTAGCACACCATGTACATATTATTTATACCAAAACAAGTGGAGTGTACCTATGCCAGGTATGATGGCATTGCCTGGAGTAAGTACCACAGTATCGACAGTAATATTTTTAACTTGGGTCACAGTGTGGATGGGGCAACTGGTTTGGTTTTCAAGACAATTCTAACACTGCACTAAAAATTAATTTTAGTTTTCATGCTCAGTTGGCGTTTGTACCTCAGACACACATTGTAACAATTTTGCTTCCAAGTTGTGTGCTGTGTTTGAAAAAATACTGCATTTTTGAACAACATTTTCTCTTCATTGTGTTCATTCCCTTTTGGAAAATAACACTGAATTTGATCAGAAACCATATTTAGCTGATTGTGACAGAGCCTGTCAGTGCGGATTTAAATAATTCAGTCTGTAGTAAAACTTGCCTGAGTTATTTTCAGGTGGATATCTGATTAATTCTAAATTCCCTGTGGATTTGTGTAGCCCAGAGTTCCATTTGTTTTAAAACAAATACATTTCAGAATAAATTCTATGCTTCAGCGGGTTTTTCAGATAAGGACCGAAGCAAGTCCTTATAAATAGCAGAGTTCATAAACCGTGGGTAAGAGTCTCTGTGCATTAAGGTATAGATTTGAAGCTGTGCGTCATCAAAGGTGTGTTGTGAGGGTTCCAGCATATTTCGGTTAATCACTTCTCTTACTCTGGAGTCCAGGCTGACCTGTGTATTAAAATAGAAAGTCACGTAAATAATAGTGGCGAATAGTACAGATGGGGTTTTAGGTTTCTTTTATAGGTTGAAAAAGCGATCTTTTTTAACTATTTCAGCTGATGTCTTCCAAGAGTGTAAAAACTGATAAATATACTTAGGCAAAATTGAATGTGTTAAAATTTGGAAGTAGTAATATCTTGACTATGGATACAGAAATATCTTCACTGAGGTACCTTACTTGAACAAGGCTGCCTGCAATCCCATTATTACTGAAGTCTTAGAGATCGGTTGGTTATTTCCAGACCAACTTCCTGCTCTGTGGTAGAGAGGATTTGTAATTTTTTGTGATGGTTCATTTCCTGGAGAGTTAGTGCTGTTGTAAAGAGACTGAATTTGGAGTAAGCAGTATGACGCAGTCGGAAAATGTAACCTGGGAAGCTGTTGCTTAATCAAATTCCTGTTAAAAAGCAGGGTGAATTGATGTGAACCACAGGTATGGTTATATAATAATTCCATACAACATGCAAGTAATGTAATTTTTTCTTTCTACAAGGCTGTAGTGTCTGTAGAAAGACTTTAGTATTACGAGAATAGACTGATTAGGTTTAAACAGTATTTTTATAAGTACGTAAGTATAGCTTGCACCACAACAATTAAATTACAGTTTTGCGAGGATACTGAAAGGTTTAAAATTCCAGCCTGCTTGGCAGTTCAAACTGAACAGAGGTGTCTTTTAGGCTTGACATATTTGCTAACAGCGAAGTGACAAGTAGTTTTAAAAATTTTCAGGAAGTTGTTGTGTTTGTTCTATGGCATGTTTTGTCAGCTGCTCTTCGAGCGATTTGCGAATAACACTTTGTGGTTAATGTGCTTTTGGAGAGATGTGTGCACCACCTTCCTAGTGCAACAAGAAAAGAAACTTTGTCCAACAGATGAAATTTAAGTTTAGCAAGGATAACACGATCATCTGTGTATTTGTGCCTCAAACTAAAAATTCCATGTCAGCATGCCATGGTAGCATAGGACACACTTTCTTACAACCAGTGAAAGTAGTTTTGACCATTTCACCTCAGTGATGGGTGCCTCCTTCCCCTAAATCTCTGCTTGATGGAAGTGGACTTGGGGGGTGTGAAAAAAGTTCTCCCTGAGTACTGCTGTAGCCTTAAACAAGTTAGAACTTCTGTGCAAAGCAACATCAAAGAACGTATTAGGAAAAGTAATATACCTCTTTTGGAGAAAGGATAGAAATATAATCTTCATAAATTAGTCTTGCTTTTTCTTCAATGACACTTTTGTTGGATTCTTGCTTTAGTTCCTCACAGGCCATCCAGAAAAGCATGTTTTCCTCACTGAATTCTGTTCGTAGAAATTCACGAAAAGCATTTCTGCCAGCTGGTGTAAGCATCAACTTGTCAAATGACTGAGCCCAGGCATTTACTTCTTCAAGAGTAGGAGCAGGGCTTGAGGAGGAAGAAGAGCACAAGAAGAGAGAAATAAGTGATTGTTACTCAAGCTTTTTGTAGTTGGGAGGAGGTATGTGCCATCACAATGGAACAAAATCATAAGGTTCTTGGGGCTCTGATTCCTCACTGGAACTCTCCGAGTGCAAACTCTAGTAAATACATTTATAAGATATTTTTGGAAAGTGTGCTTATCAGAAGCTCTGATGCAGATGATTGCCAGTGCTTTGATGCAGAAATTGCAGTTTACTGCTCGAAGTAATTGCAACAAAGAAGTACCCCTGCAACAGCTAAGCATTTTTTTCTGTACCTAATAATCCTTGTTGTTGTTAAAAATTGTTTAAAATTGAATGAAAATCCATATAAAGAAGCAATGATTCAAACACTATAAAAGGTACCCACCTGTATATTACCATTTTGCAGTTGTTTTACCTGTTCGAGCAATTCTGAAGATTGTTGCTTAACTCTTGGGAGCTCTTGAGCTCCTTTTTATATTTATTATTTTTGTAAGGCTGAGCACTGCTAGTTAACCTCATTACATAGTTGCTGGGTGGGAACAGGATGTATTTTCAAATTATTTCAGAAAAAAGGGAGACTGTTTACAGTGTTGGCTTTGATCTGTCATGTTATGAGAGTAGTTACGTGTGGTTACATGCTGCGTATAAACAAGGTAAAATATTATAGATCAGACCTTTGGAGGTAAAAAGCAGATGACTAGTAGATAATAGTTATTTTCATGTTTCAGGTAATTCACTGAAATGACTTAGTGTGGTTTGTTGGGTTTGTTTCATTTTAGCTTGACAGAACACTTAATAAAGACCATACCTTTCCTCACAGTTTGGAATACCCTCTGCTTGTAGTTCGTGAGATGTTGTCCTTGCTCTCTCTTCATCTTGATTTCTAACAGTAAGGCTGCAATGTAGCAAACAAAATTTTAGACAACTTTGTAGAGAAAAAGGCTAAACATAGATATTAAAAAAAAATAAATAAAAAAGCTAAAAGGACAGAAGCTAATGACAGCCACATTAGCCATAGTTAAACTCTGACCTTAATTTTATAGTTGTATAAACCTGGCAAACTTGAATGTAGCTGAATGCTGTTTGATATTGTATCACATAGACTTTCTACAGAGGGATCATAGATCCATAGAATATTTCAAATTGTAGGGGGCCCATAAGAATCATCAGGTCCAGTTCCCTATATATGTGTATACACGAGTATATATGTATATGGGATATATATGTATACATGCCTACCCTTTATTATATATCAAATCTATTCTCCGTTGATGCTTATTATACTCTATATGCTCAGTGCACTGTTTTTACTTAGGTTAGACTTGATGCACTGGTTTTATGTGAGTTAGATTCCAAGGTAGGTGGTTTTGAATTTGTTTAGTTAGGGGTTTTTTTCCTCCTTGGCTATTTTTTTTATATCCATAGGGCACAATGAGGGCCAAGACTCTGGTTTGGAGTGGAAATACCATGTTACAAGAAAGCCAGAATTCAGAAGCTGGATATAAGTTTTAAGTAAGCTAGAGACTTCCATATGTGATGTTGGAAAGGTAAGCATCTTTCAGAGTTAAGATGTAGATATAGCCAGATTGTGTGGTAATTGATTGCAGCTTTAAGAAAGTTCTAGTATATGCTTCAAAATGTGAATGAGGCCTGGAGCACAGAGTGGATCTATCATTGCTGAATATTGTTTTGAATATGTCTGACTGGAAGCATTTGTTTGTAGCATTACCAAAAAAAATAAAGTTTGCTGCAATCACTAGCGCTGTCCCACGGAAGGATAGCTGTCAAATCGTGCTGCTTTCATCAAATGTTGGCTTAGATGGCTCGAGTTTGTAAAAATTTCTTTTGTAGTTGTAAATGATTCTTTTTCATTTGAAACTGGATTTGAGAAAATACATTTTGGTTTTAGGGAATGGAGACTACATTCCAGTATATCTAGGTCTTCATAACTTAGTGAGAAATGCATGTGCATACACACATTCATATAATCTGTAAAGCTGCTTAAAATATGTCAAGAAGAAAAGGTCCCTGTAATTTATATGAAATGGGTTCTCCAGCTGAAATAAAGCAGCACAGTTGTTATAATGTGATAAATATCAAACTTAATTTCTTCATTTGTATCTTACCTTTCATCCATGCTGATGTTCTAAGTTTTGTTACCTTAATCCTTAAGAGTCTCATTTATCTCTAATAAGATTTTGTGTTAAACCGGTTGATTTTTCTGCCCTTTTTGCCTTCTAAACTCTTGGCTAAATCTTCTTTGTAGCCTTACTGTTTACTAGGTATCTCCTTCTCCTGCTTTGCCTACTCTTAGTCCATAATTTGCAGAGACCTGCTTTTTCTTTGCCAGGGCAGTCCATGCATTGAAGAGGTAGGAAAGGTTTCCTATTGGAGAGCAGATATTGCAAACAGTTTTTTTCAGCAACATCTGAACCATACATTCAAACCAATGAACTATTTCAATTTACCTTTCCAGAAAAAAAGAAAAAAGTAAGTAGTAAACCTAGTTCTCTATTCTTTTGGTTATATAGGTCTGAAGCATTTACTACCCTTTTTATTGGCCTTTTTTGAATATATAAACTGATGTATTATGTATTCCTCCTCAAACAAAGACAAGAAGTGATATTCTTGTCATAGCTATTTTTGGATTTAGGGGAACCAAGATCCAATAGAAAAGATTACAGTCTTCATAGGATAATGCACAAAAGGGGAAAAAGACAAAAGAAATAACAAAAGCTTCCCTAAGAGAACACACCATGTCTCAGAAAATTACTTACAGGCAGGTTTTTTTCCCTAGAAATGTAAACAATAAAGAAACTAGTGCAACACTACATCCTCTCAGGATCTGGAAGAGTAACAGCCTGGAGGCTTGAGTTTTGGCTGTAGGAATGAACATAGGCTCTGAGCATCCAGCTGAGAAACTCATTTAACTTCATTCTAAATCTACTATTAAGAGTATGCTGAATATTGGATGTTCAGCAGCTCAGCTGCATGACTCATGTAGACTGTTATTTTTATTCTTATTCATAATTTTTCTGTTCCAAGTGCATGGGCTATTTTGAGGAAAGGGTCTATGAATAGGGAATATAAATAGCTTAATTACGGTTTGTTTTGCATTTCTTGCTACTAGAAAACAATTGTTCTCAAAAAAAAAATCAGGAATTATTTTAAAGCTAAAACAAGCTGCTCTGTTTCGGAGCCCTATTGGTTTCCCAGATGATTCTGAAACACAAATAGGAGTTTTAAGCATCATGAAATTTGGGTACTTTCACACACCCTATTGAGTAAATTGCTTTCTTTGAATTGTTTGAATAGTGACATGCACAGAAAATGAGCATTCTGGAAAATATCAGGTAAAATGTCAAAAAAAAGCACTTTATCAACAATTTGAAAGGTAAAATGCAAATTTTTTGTACTCTTAGATAAACGTGTCTTATTTTTTCCTTTTATGGAAAAACATGTTTGTGTAATGAAGCTCTGGACTGAGCCACTTGCAATTGCACTGGACAGCTGTTGAGATGGCACTGGAATTTGTATGGGATGCTTTAACATAGATGTCATTCTGCAAGGTAGCAAACTCTGATCCAGCACAGGCACAGTACTTAATAGCTCTTTAAATTCTGCCTTAGTTAACCTCTAAGCACCTGCTGAAAAGCTTTTTAGGATCAAAACCAGAGTACTGGGCATTTTGCAAAAAACCTCTCCAAGCAACCTTTTATCCTTGCAAAATATTCTCTGTTTGAATTAGGGAGGGCAGAATTTTGGGTGTCTTGGCTTCTACTGAGCTGAGTACCAATACCAAAGAAACAATCAGCCTGCTCTTCCCTTGCCTTCTAATGGTGTTCTCCAAAGCATTTGCCACAAGGTGCTGTTGAAAAATTGGTGGAATAGATTCCTAGTGTGGGCTCTAAGTCTGTTTATGACTTCTTCCCTTTTTCCCAGTGCCAGGTTTGCTTGTTCTGAAGTGGTCGAGTGGTGGATAGTGAGTTTATAAGACACACTCTGCTTGCTGTCAGTGTTTTGGTTGAACTCCTATGGCTGTTTAAGACTTTTTCTTTATTTAAATGCAAGTTCTGGTCTCATCCACTAAACAGATACAGATAGAGTATGGGAAGATTTACTGCAGTTTTGAATGAAATCACTTGGATCTAGAGGAGCTGGTGAGAAAGTGAAAGTGAACACATCATTAATTTAAGGAATCAAGTGATTCCATCTTCTTTTTTGCTTTGATTACCTGATAGATTTTTTTCCTTAACACCCTGTAATGGGAGTTCTTCAGAATTATTTCTGCTTAACTCCTGATCTTCAGCAAGTACCCACAATGTTTAAGTCTCTGATCCCAAGGATTATCTTCAAATGAGTTGCAGGTGCCGTGAGTTGGCAGAACTAATTAATGACAACAGATCCAGTTGCCTTCAGGGGAAAAAGAACAGTGCTGGGCACCTGGTTATTCATTTTCTGACCTACAAATTCTTCCACCTTCTACTAACTCCATTTAACACCCTCAGTGCTGCTTGTTGAGTCCCAAATCTAAAGCTAAAGCTGCGATACATTCTGGTATTGCTTTCAGTTTTTAGTGGAAGCCTTGGTGAACCTCAATGCTGAGGAGAACCAGTCCTGCACAAAACAGACCTTCCATTGCACAGTATTGACAACAAAACTACAACAGAGATACTGTGCAAATATTTTTTAAAAAATCTGTTATTTCGATGGCAGGGCAAAGAGAGAGTAGACTGAAGTAGAAGGTTGTGCACAGTCATCTCTCCCAGTCCCAGATTTGCAGAGTTACACAGGTGTTTTGTTTGGCTTATGTTGTCCCATACACTAGGTATGTGTTCCTTCCCTGAAATTCTGTTCCCCAGAGGTTTTAAGGAGAGGGGTTACCATGAGCAGCTGCAGCAACAGCACCAACAAAAGCAGCAGGCATTGGACCCTCGATTTCCTGTGCTGAGCTGAGCCTGTGCAGCACTTGGGGTGTCCTGGGTCGTAGACATCTGCCGTTTGCGCATCTCCGTCCTCTCTGATCCCATGGGCTGCAAGACAGCAAAAGAGTGGGGAAGTAAGAAATCTCTCTCTCTTCTTTTTTTTTTTCCTTTTGTTTGCTTTAGAAGTCTTACCAGGAAGTGCTGAAGGCCACAGCTCCAAAGGAACTGAAAAGCTAAACACCTGATTTTCCCCCATGGAAGCCCTTAAGTGTTGAATCCACTGGAAGATTCACTCATTTAGGTGCTGTGATGGAAGGCAAAGGGCTAATGATTTCTGCACATGGGTGGAAATACAATGAGAAGGGAGTGGTGATGCAGAGAAAAAAACATACAAGTGAGGGGTCTTGAAGATCTCTTGGCACAGTGGTATATAAGCCAAAGAGTTGAAAAGTATTTCCTGAGGTTTTGACTTCGAGGCCAATCCTAAAGAAAATGGTAAAGAATAGAGGGAGTTAGGGCCTCTTTTTTTATTTCTTTTTTATCTCTTTTTCTTACACTCGATTAGCCAATGCACAAACTTAATGATACTTGAGTGAGACACCTGAGCTCTCCTGAAAATCTGGTCTTTGTTGAGTATTGAGGATGTCTCAAACCTGCTGGTTGCTGCTGTAGCAAAGGGGGAAGTGCTAGTGCTAACTTGTCCATTGTAGGTCTGACTGCCACAGTTTTTAAAACATTTTTTTCTCAAGAAGGAATCGAGTGCTTCTGTGAATATGAAGAGAAAACACAAATAGATGATAATAATTACAGTATTTTGGTTGACCCCCAACTGAAGACAGTGTGAAACAATGATGGATGCACTGTTTGGTTTTTTGCACTGTTCTAGGAAACCTTTTTGGAGCCTGCATTTTGCAGATTATGCAGAGAATTGGTGTTGATGAAATGAAGTTCCCTTAAAGTCCCTGTCCCTTTCTGACCTATCTTTGAGCTTCATATTTGCTCTACAGCTCTTAGTAATGCTCTCCCTGTTATGCTAAGGGTTGTGCCATATGTAAGTGACAGATGTCTTTTATAGATGAAATGCCAGCTTGTACAAAAATGAGTATGTCTTTCTTCATTTTATTTGTATTTGACTTTTGAATACATAATATAACTAGTCATCCTCCTATGTCACGAGATCCTTTTGTGTGTAGGTTTGTTTCAGGTTGCTAAACCTTCTTTTTAGGCCATAATGGTTGTAGGGGAATTAAAATTAGCTGCTACCAATTTTGAGTTCTTTTTTAAATTGATAATTTAGTATCAGACTTGAATCTAATGAAATGAATACTGGGGGGTTAAAAGTTGCCTTCCTTTCTAAGATGTTCAGCCAGGTTTAGGAAATACTGTTGTTGTAACTTGAGGGGAAATGTACAGACATTGTCATGTACTCGATAGAAGTGTCAGGAGAAGAAAGGAGGTTATTTTAGCAGAGTGCAGCATTACATTTTGCTGCACTTTGGCTACTGGATTTTTTTAATGCTGAATTTCTTTCTGTCTTATAGAGCTTAGCAGTTTTTATATTTGTGAGAACCACCTACTCTCCCAAGAGAAAAAAACATGACATGGTGAGCAGAAGATGCACCTGTTTTTCAGGAGGAATAAAATACAAGAACAACAATACAGATAGAAATTTTAACCCATATACAGATAGAAATTATAAACCATTTTGAAACTCTGTAGACCTAACTGACAAGCAATACCTAAATGACCAGAAATAGAAAATCACAAAAAGAACATAGCTTCCCACCCCCCCAACATTTCTTGTTTCAAAATGTGGAAGAGTAAATGTGAAATGTAGAATGAATTTGTAGATTCAAATTTCTTTCTTTCAGAGTTTCAGATTCACAGGAATAGAATGAAACTCTTTAGTATTAATTTCCTTCCAGATACCTATACTTTTTTAAATAGAGCCTTTTCACAATTTCAATTAGAAAGTGTTAGTATAATAAAGCATTATTGGAAGAATAATATATCTAACACTATTTCAAGCTGTTTTGAACAGTAAACAATTATTATTGATTAGAAAAATGTAACTTGGATTCAGATGTGCTGTTTATATAGCCTAATCCATACACTCTTACTTTTGAGATGTTTTATGTAGGTAGGTCACTCATTCATATCTCTAATTCATATGTCAATTGAACTAATAGTGATCTGAGTAGAAAATTTTGTTCCTGTTGTCTGCTTTTTCCCAAAGATAAATGTATAGATGGGGAAAATAGGAAGAATACACTCCTCCTCCCTGCCTTGTTCCATCATGGCTTAATTCAAGAGATCTTTCTGGATCCATTTTTACCATTTTAGGTGGTTCTTCAGAATTTTCTTTGACATCTTTAATGACATGGAAGAATATGTAAGTAGCTGCATGGCAAAAACTGCCCAGCAGCATCATGGCTTTGTTTCACTTCTGAATCATAGAGCATCTAACTATGACTGGTGCAGAAGAATTGTGGGAGTTTGTGTTCTTAATTTAGAAAGGGGAACTGGGAAATGTATTGAACTTCTGATCAGTAGAAGCTTATGATGTTCTATTGCCCTCTGTTTCATTCAGAGATAAATAATAAGTTAGCCTGGGCACAACCTAATCTCAATGGCAAGAGAGCTGAGCAGTGGTGCAGGTTATTACAGAGTTGTAGAAACTCCTTTGGCTCAAATAGTATTAAGACCCTTAGGACAAAACCATGTCAAGCTGGTTCAGGTTCACAGAACAAGCAAGGAGTAAGTGATCCATCTCAGTTTTTTAAACTTCATTCTTCCCTGCTGTTATCTTTTTTATTTTTCAAATGCAGCTCTGGCTCTGTCATCAAGCATGTTGCTCTATATACACCTTTGTACATGGACCAGCTCCGTTGGCCGCATAAGAGTGATTAATCTGCGGGAGAAGCGGATATGTTGCATCAAGTGTGGGGGGGTTTTTCATCCTCTAACCAGAATCACAAAATAAAGTTGACCCTCATGTTTGCAGCGTGACTTGTTACAAATGTATAATTGTATTGTACACTTTTGTAATGCCAGACATGAGGCCCGAATGCACAGTAAGACGTAGTCTTTGCCTAAGTTATGTCAGATTTTCTTATCTATATTTATGGATATTCACTGGCCAGATTATGTGACCAATACATCTGTTCTAGAACAAGCAGCAATCACAAGTATTGAGGCCATGTTGATGAGAACACAGCTGCAATGGGCAGGACACGTCTCAAGGATGAAAGATCACCGCCTCCCTAAGATCCTGCTTTATGGTGAACTTGCCACCGGCTGCCACAAGAGAGGAGCCCCAAAGAGAAGATACAAGGGCTGCCTGAAACAACATCTCAGCCTTGGCCATATTGACCACCATAACTGGTCTACTCTGGCCTCAAATCGGGAGGCCTGGAGACACACCATCTATAACGCTGCTGATGCCTTTGAGAAAGCACGCAAGATCACCCTTGAGGAGAAAAGACAATGCAGAAAGAATTGTGTCTTCCAGAATATACCACCTAAGGAGTCTTTCTGCTGTGCCTTTTGCAACCAGACATGTCTATCTCGCATTGGCCTTTTTAGCCACCAACGCGCTTGTAACAAACATGGGTAGAGCCCTTCCCAAATCTTCGTTCGCGAAGCCCAGCCATGATGATGACAGTGGCTTTCTAGATTTCTTTGCTTTTCAGGAAAAAAAAAGAAAAAAAATGTAATTTAAGAAAAAAAAGGAAAAGGTAAACCAGTGAAGCCCAAACCCTGCAATTTTGTAGCTGTGCATGGTGATACAGCTCCCTGTCTGCTGCTTTTGCTTTTACATAAGCTGCTCCTTGCCTGGAATAGAGGCAAAGGCACAGACACTGAGTTTATGTAAGTCATTTAAGGATTCATTTTCAAAGGAAAGTACCTTAAAAAGTATTAAGGCTATCAGATTATGACTGTACACAGGGAAGTATAATGATCTTGGAAGGTGTATGGAAAAAGGTCATAGAGATGAAGCAAGTTGTCTGAGATGCAGTGAGTTAATGACAGAGCCATGAGTGAGACACAAACAGAAAAGCCTTTTTTAATGTATATACATGTCTTTCTGCTACTTCTAGTATATCCAGAATGTCCCTATGGGACATGGAAGTTTTCCATCACACTTTGCTACTTCTCAGTGAAACCACCATAGCTGTGTAATGAGCCTAGCCAGGAAACTGCTTGAATTAGAGTTCAAGAGCAATTGCTTGCTGTAGAACAAATGGCTAGTAGATTTATCAGTTACTCCAGTGAATATCATTTGTAGGAATACATAAAATGCTGTACTTCTTTCACTACAAGACCACACTATTAGTCAATATGGCAATGAAATGGGAAACAACCTGTGATTGAACAAATTTCTCCTTCTAGAGAAATTTTATAATGCAGTTAGAAAAGAAATAATTACCTGAGTCCATTTTTGTAAACATGAGTGCAAATATTCTTCTATCACCTTATTAGCAGATGTGCACTTTGAAAGTGGCAGTTGGTAAATATAACTTGTTGTCACAGCAGCCTCCCAGGACAGTTGCTTATTTGGTCAGCTGACACTCTGGAGATAAAAACCAAGGTGATGTTCTTTCTAAGGTTTTCAGTTTGCCTGCCATGCAATTGGTATTTAGTTTTAAATGGATTTTTTTATTGACCAGTATTAAGTATTTTCTGTTTCCTTTCTCTTGCCAATCAAATATAAGTATGTCCATCAACAAAGAGGATGTATTCTTTGGAACGCCAAGATCTTGTCGCGGTGAGAGGAAATTCTATCCTAGTTTTTATTTATTCGATTTTGAAGTATTAATGCTAATTACATATAGTGTGCATTAATGCTAATTTCATGTATGTGCCTGAAGAATGACATTTTTCAGCTGCTGAAAAATCGTATCACTTCCCTATGGTCAGTGAAGACAAGGGAATTTATACCAGATACCAGCTGAGGATCTGATCTGGTACTCGTATTTATGCTGCAGGGTAAAGCAACTTCATATCTTGGGTTGGACTTAACACCACATGGTGGTAAGCAGAGGTGTCCTGAATTATCTGAAATGCCTTTCTTCAAAATCTGTAGATTTTTTTTTTTTAATAAAGAATCCTCCTTCTGCTTCCTGAATGCATTTAAACAGTTGGTTACAATCACTGAAAGTGACTTTTTCTATCTTACTAAGGGAATGCAGAGAGTCGATGTGTATCAGCGTGCATGAACTATTGTTCTTTGTTTCTGCTCTCTTTGAACAATTTTGCATTTATTCTTTAAGAGAAGTCTTGTTTCAACTATAAAATAAATTTTAGGGGTGGATATTTTTATTTCTTCTAAGGTAGTTTAATTATGTTTAGATTCCTAAATACATGTATTTAAATAGTTAGACATACAGACCTATGAGATGCTGTTCTTGAGATCCTTGCAAGTTCAGGAACATCAACACCCCTCAGGTTCAAACTCAAATCACTGCTCTGCTTTTGTTTGGGTTTTGATTCTTTGGTTTTCTGGGGTTTTTTAAGTCACTTGAGTAGTCACACTGAGCTCTAGTGCTTTCCCTCATTAGGACTGAGGCAAGGTTATATTGCTGCTTCAAGGTAAGTGAGGAAGGTCTAGCAGCAGAACTTACCTCTGAGCCCGAATGGACAGTTTCAGCAACCTATTTTGTGACATTTTGTCCACTAATACACTTGGCATTCCTAAACCTTGGATGCCCCCTGGTCTCTTGTTTGTGTTTAATTGCCTATTACCTTTAACTCCCTTACTAGGTTGCTGTGCTACAAGAGAGGTCCATAACCTAAAATTTGCCTCACTGAGAAAGAATAAGCCAATCAAATATTGTCTCTCTCTAGGTTATCTCCTTCACACCAAACTGGAAATTTCACTGCTCTAAACAGCCTGTACCTCCTTTATCCTCTAAGATTTCCAGACCTCTCAGAAGGTGCTATGAGCATGAACAAATTGTATGAGAACCCTCTGTGCTGGATGTTCCCTGCACTTTGAGACCTGGAATCTGTCTTCTCTGTCCCCACCATCTGGAGCAGCTACATGCCTTGTTTGAAAATGGGTTAGAGAAGAAAACATAGAGGATTAGAAAACTGGAGATAGACCTCTATCTTATTCATGTTTACTAAGGAATCCAAAAGTACTTTTAGACTCCTTATGGAATGAGGTGAGATACCTTTAACCAAAGGACTTCGACCTCTACCATCTCATGCTCTGTTTGAACCCAGCCTGGGTACAGTTTTAGCCAAAAGCTGGGTATAACATGAAATGTTATCTCTGTGTTCAATTATCAGTTTGACTGCCCAAAGTAATGACAGCACTCTCAAAGACACCATGTCTGCTTGCTGAGGGCTTGGGTAGCCATAATTTAATAGAAAAAATATTACTTTCTGGTCCATACAGATAGGGAAGGGCTAAATCTGATGATTCTTGGGTGGTCAATAGAGTGTGATTTTGCTAATATTGCATCACTGTGAGGAATCAAGTCCTTGAACAGGACAGTCAGTCAGTGTCCAGTTGGCAAGAGGAGTTTCAGTTGCAAAGGTCCTCGTAGTGGTGGTGTTGGCTGGAGCAGATGAGACTCTGACTCATGAGTTACTGTGCAGTTACATCCAGCTGTCTCATGCTCCTTGGGGCCGCTCCAGCACACACATGGTCCATCCCTAGCGATTATCCTGAGCTACATACAAAACATCTTCTACCTACCTGAATTGTGTACACAGATCTGTCCTACATGGTCATTTCTGCATCTGCAAGACGTTTCTTCTGACTACGTACAAGTGACTGGCTACTTGCAAGTCTCCTCTGACTACCTGCAATCTGTGCAGAATTGGACTGATTTTGTAGCCTCGGAGTCTCTACCCTAGATGTTAATCAGCACCTTGAAACATAAAGAAACTTGTCTAGGCACAGCAGGTCCTACCTGGAGGAATCCACAGAACTGTCCCCATTCTGCATGGAAAGCACCAATAAGTCAATCCCTTAAATGAGGACGGAGTAGTTGCGTTGATCAGCTTTCCTCCAGTTGGTTCACTGTTCCAAGTCAATCTAATGTAGCATCTATGCAGATGCCTAGGTTCAGAGTTTCTGTATCTCCCAGGGAAAGAGATGTCCTTCTCTATGCAATGATAATAACAAATTTAGTCCATTATAAAATTGTCCCTAAAGAACAATGAAACAAAAATAGAGGAAAATTAATGGCACATGTTCTTGCTTCTTATCCAGCAAGGTAGCATCTATTAATCATATAAAAAAGTAGATGCTCATATTGTTGAATGCTAATAAGTAATCAAAAAAGTCCAGGGATTTAAGAAAGCATCTGAAACACTACTTTTGACAATAGTGGAAAAACTACTGTATGCCTTAAGAGTAGTGTTGAAGTGGTGAAATAAGTATGTCTGTCATACCTTTTCCATTCCAAAGCATGCCCATCTAACATTCAGATTATGAAGCATTTCTGTATGTAACCTTATAAACACAAAGGAGTGTAAAGGTCAGGAGTGAAAATTATTTCCCTGTTTAAAAAGACCTTAGATGATATCTGGCTTAGTTGTAACATTTATAGTATTTGCTAATCTCTCAGCAGAAAGGTGGGTTACAAGAACATAACATTCCCAAAGAAGGAATATTTAAAATCTGAGCCACAAATGTCAAATTTAAAAAAAAAATTCAGATAAATTAAAAAAAAAAAAAAACCAAAAACCAAAAAAAAACCACCAAGAAACACAAGAATAAGCAGAAGATTGTAGTCAAAATTTTATACTTTTATCCACATTTTCTGCTAGAGCACAATGACATTTTCTCAGCTCAAAGTGCAAAGATTCTATTACTTAAACATAATTACTTAGACATAATGTTTCCTTCTTGTACATGTTACAATCAGGCAGGTGTGCAAGCTTTTAACTTGTCCTCAGGGCTGATTTGCATGGCCACAACATGAAGCTTTCACAGTAACTCCACAGCCTGAGAAGCCCTGTGCTATAATGCTAGCTGACAGCCACTTGGAGTGACTGCACAGATGTGGATCATATAGTGCAATTGTTTTTCAGTAAATACTTCAGGTCTGATCCAAACTCCATTAAAGCAATGGAAACCACTTATTGGTGTCACTGAGCTTTAGGTAAGGTTATGTAACTCTCACAGTTGCTGCTTTGTCTTTGGATCCTCCCAGCAATGATAATCAGTGAGTTGGAAG